TTCCCTTGGAGTTTATCCTGGTGTATCAATTAATTATTTTTTTAATCACTAATATTAATTGAAAATAAATTGGTTTTCTGTATGAGATCAAAGTCGAATGGGGAATTAGGAGTAGCCCACAAAGAGCAGAAAATTTTTTGTATGTGAATACTTTAAACTGTCTTCATGGACTCTTGTTTATAGCACAGCTGTTAGGATTTACACGAGCCCTGGAGCCAGTATTGACCCCTGTCGAACCCGATTCTGACTGCTTCTCAGGTGTCTTTCTCCCCTGTGTGCAGCTACAGACCTGCAATCACAGCTTTCACCAAAGAACAGCTTTGTGAATAGTAAGGGATTTTTCTCCTAGGAATTTTCCAGCAGGCGTGGTGTAAGAGCCAGTTATGCTGCCAGGTTTCCATTTGAGTCTAGCAAAAGAGTTCTCTGAGTCCTGATGCAAGTGGATGCCAAGGCATAATGATCAGGTAGAAGAGACTTTCTCAGAGCAACAAAGCCCTTCAGTTTTTCCTATACCTGTGGTACCAGCTCGGTGTCCCACTTGACGTAGCTTCCACCCTGAATGGCCCCCTCAATCCTCTGTCTTTGTGCATCCATCTGTGTTTGGGGGATGCACCCTGTGTTTGCCGATGACCCTGAAACTGCCTAGGAATATTCCTTTCTGTTATGCTGGGAACTGCACTGCTTCTGAATTGTCAAATATTTATGGACATGCAAACAAAGCCCACATTATGTGTGCAGCTCTGGCAGCCGGCAGGCAGTGGAGGGCGTGCTTCCAGTCTGCCAGCCACAGGGTGGGGACACAAAGGGTTCCTAAAGAAAAACAGGGGATTGGTGCTGTGGTAAAACAATTTGCATAATATATGCCCCAGGAAAGGAGGAGGGTTGGAGGAATGTTTACTTCATAAACGTTCCCAAAGAAAGTTGTTTGTTTCCCCCATTTGCTCTGTATTGTCTGGCTTGTGAAGCCTTTTAGATTCCTTTTCTGCTATCCCATTGAGGCATATCTTCATGGAATGTATTTGTGTTTGTTTTTGTTTTTGTACAGTGATTTAGTAGAACTATTCTGTGGAGAACTTTGGGATACTCAGCCAGGTTTTTCCCATGATAATTTGCATTATATGAGCATAGATGCCCATTAGTTTGGCTCTTAATTTGGTTTGCATTTCTTAGTCTGTGGCAGATTAGACCCCAAAAAAAGAAAAATCAACAGGCAGAAAGTCAACATCTTAATATTCTCAGCAGACAGAGGAGTTCTGATTCACAGCCACATGATCACAGTGAGAATTCAGTTCCATTGTAGAGTACAAAAGGGCTCACAGCACCCATGGGCTTCTGAACTCTTTCAGTGATGAGCAAGTTGCATGCTAAGCCACGCCCTGGGTTCTGACTTACTCATATGCCTTACTTAGAGCTCATCAAACAGTTCGAATTGATATTTCTGTAACATTGCTCTGCCCTGGCTCCCTGCACCCCACCTCTGGGAACTCCTTATAGTGTCCATGCTTCTTTTTATGACTCTGTAAGATAACCAAATTCATTTAATTTATTAAAATATTTTATTTGAAGAATTATTTACTTATTTAATTTTATTTGTTATTATTATTTATGTTTTAATTTGACCAGAGAGAAACGGAGAGAGAAAGGGAGAGTGAGAAAGCAGTCACCAGGTCTAGGAACTGAACCACAGTTGGCCACATAGCAGTCTAGTGACTTAACTACTACACCACCTGCTGGTGCCTAATTTATTAAAAGCTTATTAGTGTGTGGTAAATCAGCTGATGGTTGGGTTAAAAAAAAATTGGGGGTGGGGGCTGGCAGGTGGTATGGTGGTTGGGGGCACTGAACTCCCACATGGCCAACGACGGATTAAGTCCTGGACTTGGCGGCTTGCTTGCTTTCTCTCTGTCTCTCCCCCTCCCTCCCTCTCTGGTCAAATAAAAAAAAGTAAATAAATAAATAAAGTTAAATAAAATATTTTTTAAAAATTGAGGGGACCAGGCACATATGCCCATGTGCCCAGTGTGTTTTTTCAAACTCCTGGATCTGGGACTCAAACTACACAGTCAGGGGAAACTTCTTTAGAATAAGATTATAAAATTATGAATACAATATTAGGTATTGGAAGGGGCAGACATGTGGGGGTGCCTGAAGCTGGGGGGTGCCTGAGGCTGGAGCTGCCTTAGCCTTAGAGTAAACTTGCCTCCTTTCTCTACCCACCAGTATTCTAGTGAAAATGGCCTACTGTGGGGAGTTGAAATGAATGAGGCCATCACTCTGAGAATGGTTTCTTTTTGCTTCCATCCAGGTTGCCCTAGGGAGTATAAATGCAGAATTATTAAAACAAACAAACGAGTCAGTGCTCCAAGTATTTTCCAAATGCCTATTCATTATAATACACATTTCTAAGCCAGGGTAATTCTATACTTCTTTTAGTTTACTCTCCAGCTGGTAAAATTTGGTCTGAGCAGTTCCAGTTTGAAATATTTTCTGTCACTTCTGAAAGGAAGGTTTGTTTTTAGATTTTCTTCTGAGGCCAAGGAGCCTTCAAGCAGAGAATTCGAGTGTCTAGAGAGATGAAGGAGGCCTTGAGCGTGGGCCTGACAAAAGGAATTAGTCCCAAGATAAGCTACTGGAGGTATCTAAGGAGCAAAAATTACTAAGGAGATTTCTTGAAGAACCTGGGTTTGTGGTTTCATTTGGGGTTGAGCTTACCATGTCTGATTCTGGACTAAGTCACCTGATGGGGAGTTAAGTTTCTTTCTGTCTTTGTGATTATTCAGGCCTTACTGCTCAACGGATCCTTACCAGAAGATGAACAGGAGAGGCCCTTGGCCCTCCGGGAACCAGGAGTCAATCCTGAGGAACAACTGGTGAGCTTTTTCTTTCATGTCGACACACTGAATATTGTTTCTGTATTTGCTTAGCATTGGGCACTACTGACCACGCCTTGAGATGCTCTTTCCTGACTCAAATTCTCCTGACTTTCCTTCTACATTTTTGACTCTTTCCTTCTTTATCTCTCTTTTCTTTCTTTTATGCCAGAGTATGTATGTGTATATATATATATATATATATGGGCACGTGAGAGAGGACTCCTGTTGGGACTTGGCCATACTATAACCACTCCCTACCTCCTCTTCCAACTCTCCACCTCACCAGGACACTAGGCACTCATGCTCATACGTAGCGTGTCCCTCAGGCCACAAGGGCTGGGATTCAAATTCTGGCCTGCCACACAGGATCCAGCCTCTTCTATAGAAAGCCCAACTGTTATGCTACAGGACTGGCTTTTTTTCCTTTTAAAAAAAGTTTCAGTGGGCTAGCCTGTGGTGTGTATTTAACGCACTGCATCCCATATGGCTGACTGCACGATTCATGTCCTGGACCTGGCAGCTTAAGAAACATACTAGTTGCATGAGTTTATGTGCCCAAAGGCTTGAAATGAGGGAGAAATGGAGAGAGGATTGTGGCATGACCACGCTCCATGGAGGGTGCCTTTTCACTCTCTGTCTCTCTGTCTCTTTCTGGCAAGTGCACATACCGTCTGGCAAAATAGAGGGGAAAACAAGTTTTATTTATCTCTTCCATGAGCAAGAAAGACAGAGAAACAGAGCAGCCATCTACCTCGGCTTCAGTCAGCCCCAGATCCTGGGTACATGTGTGCCCTGCATACTCAGGAGGTCTTTGACAATACCCTGGAGCTCCCAATGTGGGTCAGTTTCAAAGAGTGTGTGTTACCACCATGACACCATCTGGCCCTGGGTTTCCTTTCTTTATACATTCAATCAGGATAATGTGTTCTGAGTGCCAACTATGTACTAGGCACTGTTTCAAGGTATTGGAGGTATGGCAGTGACAAAATACAACTAAGGTTCTACCTTCACGGAGTTTACTTTTAGGTTCCCTTTGAAGCTTCTTTTTTCTGCCCCTACTTAAATGTCAGTGCTCCTCAGAGTCCCACTGTGGACCCTGATCTGTCTTACTTACACATTCGCCTGGGCAATGCTATCTGTCTAAGATCCACTCATTTCTCACCTGCTTTTCACATATTCACTTCCAGTTCAGCTCTTTATGGAATTCTAGACTTGCTTGTATGTGCGGCAAGCAGCAGCTTATTCATTATCCCCACAAATAAACCCCATAAGCATCTTGATTATTTATTTATTTTTAAAGCGTTATTTTATTTAACTTTTATTTTTTATTTATTTTAATTTGACCAGAAAAGGAGAGTGAGAGAGAGAAAGAGAGAGAAAGAAAGCGAGAAAACAAGCCACCAGGTTCGGGACTCGAACTGCAGTCAGCTATGTGGAAGTCCAGCACCTTAACCACCATACCACCTGCTGGCCCCTATTTATTTTTTTAAGAGAGATTTTTGCAGTAGGGCATGTGCACTCACTAGAGAGACAGCAAGAACTCATCCCCCAGAGGGGATGGCCATGCCATAATTCCTTCTCTTCCACTCTCCTCTTGGGATTTTGGGCACATATGCACACATGCCCGAAGTGAATTTTAAGCCGCCGGTTCCCGGACTTGAACCATGATCGACCACATGGGAGACCGGTGATGTAACCACTACACCATCCTCTGGACCCTAGCATCTCAATTTAAATGCATCCTAAATTCATATTTTACTGTCCTCTGTCCAACCACCAAAACTTCTTGCCCTCTTTAATATGTCTTATGTCAGGACCAACATGTGACATCGTGGTTAAGGTGCTGGACTCCCGCATGGGCAAACTGCAGTTTGAGTCCCTGACCTGGCAGCTTGAAAATCACGCTGGGTGCACGTGCGTGCATGTCTACTTGGGCCACTTAATTCAGGCCTTCGTCTAGTCTTCTAGCAGCCTTTTAACTAGCTTTCCTGATTTCACTCTTGTCCTCTGATTTTCTATAAGAGGGCAAGAATAATTTACCTTAAAGACAAATCTCATTTTGTCATCCTTTGCATAAAACTCCTCACCGATTCTCTACTGTTCTCACTAACCCTTTGTGAACTGGAACACATTCCTTGGCATTTCTCCCTGCTCTTACCCCACCCCTTGCAGCCCTGCATGCATTCATATTCTTAGCTTATCCACATTGATCTACTTGCTACATCTTGGGCATATGCTTCTATGAATGGGTAACAACTATTTTCTATTCTTGTTTGTATCCACAGTATAGACCTGGCACCTAGTAGGTACTCAGTAAATACTTGTTAAATAAATTACCTCAGGGCCAGAAGGTGGTGCAATGGTTAAGGTGTTGGACTCCCACATGGCTGACTACGGTTCAAATCCCAGACCTGGCATCTTGCTTTTTCCCTTTCCCTTCTCTCACTCTCTTGTCTCTCTCTGGTCAAAGTAAAATAATAATAAAAATAACAAATGGAATAAAATAAATATATAATTCTTAAAAAAATAAATGGCCTCATAACTCACAGTAGAGGTATGACATAGGTACATAACTATCTTTTTGTCTTATATTCAGATTATAATCCAAAGTCGTCTGGATCAGAGTATGGAGGAGAATCAGGACCTAAAGGTATGACAGGACACAGGTTAAACATTTTACCCTTGAAAAAATTATGGGAATGCTACACACCAACTTAAAGAAGGAAAGAGATTGCAAATATGGGACATGAGCTTTACCTGCATATCTCTAGTTGAAAGAGATATGTTCTAAATATGTCTAAAAAGTGTTAACTGTTTAACCTTAGTGGTGGGTAATCAACATCCATGTCATTTTTGAGTACCTTTGTATGTGTTTGAAATGTTTCACAGCTTTTATTATTTAATTAAGAGAAAGAATCTAATATCAGTGTGGCATCTTAAGTTTATTTCATGAGAGAGATGGAGGAAAAGGTAAGTACCCTCTATGCAGTCTTATGCCACGATCCACCCCTAGTCCTCCCAGCCTGCCAACATCACAGCATGCATGTGTGTGCCTCCAGCGTGCAGAAGTCGGCTCAAGAGCCCAACGCCAACCTTGCAAATGACACTAGCATTGCAGAGCAACCTGCTACTATTGCACCACCACTGTGGCTGAGCTATCATTGTGTTTTTGGTTTTATTATTATTATTATTATAAATTGCTATAGGGCATGTGAGCTCACCAGAGAGAGAGGTGGGGGCGGGAAGTGAGAAAGCAAGCCACCAGGTCCAGGACTCAAACCGTGGTTGACCATGTGAGAGTCCAGTGCTTTAACCACCACACTACCTGCTGGCCCCACAAGCCTGACTTTTTTTTTTTTTTAAATGAATACACCCCAGAATTCTTTCAGGTCAATGGCTTTTGTTTTTTTTTGAGTCATAACTGTATGACAAAAGCTATTTCCTCTCTTCCCTGAAATGTGCATGTGTGCATATACACACACTCAGACTGAATTTTTTGTTTTTTTTTTAGTTGCTAGAAGATACATGAGCTTTCCAGAGACAGAAAGAGGCTGAAGGATAGAAAAAGAGAGAAGGAATAAGCACCTTCAATGAGATGTGGTCATGTTGCAATCCCTTCTCCCCCTTTTCTCTATCTGCTAGGATTCTGGACATGCATGCATATGTACCTGTTGTGTTTTTCAAGCAACTGGAGCTGGGATTTGAACCCCAGTTGACCATGTGGTATCTGGCCCCCTTATCCACTAAGCCATAGGGTCAGCCTCAGATCTGAGGTTTCAGTGAACACTTTGAGCCAGGTTAAGAGTCCTCATTATAGGGGACCAAACAATGACACAGCAGTTATGCAACTGGACCAACATGAGAAGACCCTAGGTTCATGTCCTGAGACCTTCCTGTGCACGCTCAGCACAAATGAGCCCCTCATTTGGGCCGGCTGAGACTGGGGGTGGATTTTAGCATGAAGACTTTGTTAGGGTGCCTATCTCTATCATTCTCATGGAAGAAGTAAACTTTATAAAAAGTCTTAATTTTAGACATGTTCATTGCAGACTCTGATGATGAAATAGGAAAAGGAGAGAGTGGGGTCTCAGTTCCCCTTCTAAATCCTGTTTCTTAGTGACAGTGTTGGACATGTACTTACTCTATTGTAAGTAAAGATAGCATACACAGTATTTCATCAATGGGCTAAATGTGCTTTTGTTTGCAAAGAACTGGACCATCTTAGAGACTCAGAAGCACTCCAACTCTTTGCTGAATGTTAAGAACTGAGACTAGCTAATGGTTTTGCAGGTGGGCATATTTAAGTATGACCTTATATTTCAGTGAGAGAGATTTAGATGATTATGATTAGATATTCTCATCAGTGATGCTGTTAAATATAGAAATGAGATCCTATGGGAATATATAGGGTATCTTCTTTCTTGGCAAGACCTTTCTGTACCTGGGTAGTTGAGTCTGGGTACTACAGAAAAGAATAGAATGGGTCCTGTTCTTATTTCTGTGGGTCAGGCCTGCTGCTTGCTGGACCACATCTGCTTTCTGCCTCCATATAGAGTTAACTTTTCATAGAATGACCAATTGGGTTTTGTCTTTCTGCTGACAGAATGAGGTAATGCTTCTGGAGCAACCCAGATGCCACCATCTGATCTAACTATATTTGGTTTGCAGAAGGAGCTGCTGAAATGTAAACAAGAAGCCAGAAATCTACAGGGGATTAAGGTAAAAAGGAAGGCCTTTAATTTTTTTTGTTACTTAAAAAAATTATTTAATTTTATTTATTTTTAAATGTTTTATTATTTAGTTTTATTTATCATCATTATTATTTTTAATTTGCTGCAGGGCACGTGCTCTCATCAGAGAGAAAGAGAGAGAGAGAAAAAGAAAGAGACAGAAAGTGAGAAAGCAAGCCACCAGGCCCAAGACTTGGACCACAGTCAGCCATGTGGGAGTCCAGAGCCTTCACCACCATGCCTCCTGCTGACCCTAACCTTTAATTTTTTTGAAGGCTCTACAAAGTAGTCTACTGATGAGTGTGTGTGCATGGACACACTCGAAAGTGAGCTAGGGGGCTAGCAGGTGGTGTGGTTAGGATACCGGACTCCCACATGGCCAACTGCAGTTTGGGTCCTGAACCTGGCAGCTTGCTTTCTCACTCTTCCTACCCCATGTCTCTCTCTGATGACTATAGCAAGTTAAAACACAATAATAAATAGACAATTATTTACCAAAAAAAAAAAAAAAAAGTGAGCTAGGAGGATAGTTGGGACCTGCTCAGGTCCTTTAACAGGCCTGTGCTGTTGGTGAAGGAAGTGCTTTGTGGGTGGGAAGTGAGACATGCTGAAGAATACACCTTTGTTTTGCTGAGGTTTATTTCTGGTCTTTATGACTCATGGAGCTGCCACTTCTGTCTGTGCTGCCTGGAGTGTCTCTATATGTATACTCTTCCTGCATTTCAAAGAATGTCCTTTTTAAGGAAATGTAATTTAGTTAGTTTTTGAATAGTTAATAACATTCAAATAGTTTAAAGGCACAAAAGAATAAGTTGCAAAAAATCTCCCCTCCAGCCCTGTCCCCCAGTCACATCATCTAGCTCTCCTCCCTGGTGGCAACTTATCAGTTATCAGCAAGTATGTGGGCATGTCATTTCCCCCACATTGTTACCCAAATAGTAATATACTGTAAATACATCTTGACACTTTGCCTTTGTTTTATTTTCTGAAGAAGTTTTTGCTATAGGGCACCTGCGTTCGCCAGAAAGTCAGAGAAACAGAGAGACAGAAAGCGAGAAATCATCCCCCCCGGGGGGGTGGCCATGCTGCAATCCCTTCTCCACCATTCTCCTCTCAAGATCTTGGGTGGGCGCCCAGCGTGAGTTTAAGCCACCAGGTCCAGGACTCAAACCGTGGTCAACGACTTGGGAGTCTAGTGACATAGCCATTACACCAACTGCTGGTCCCGACACCTTGCTTTTTTTAACTTAGCAATGTGTCTTGGAGATCATTCTGTTGGGGTCATGGAAAAAGTCATGATGCATTTTTGCATAGAAAAACACTTTATTTTTATTTTTATTTTTTTTTGACAACCCAATATTTCATGAAGACCTTCCTAGGCTTTTTTATGACTACATAGTATTTCATCATGTGTTCCTAGGATAACTTAATCACTCTCTTATGGGTGGCTTTTTAGATTATTTCCAATTTTTGTTCACACAGTGATCTAATAACCATGAATATACAGTAGTCCTGTCTTACCTTTGGGAGATAACATTCCAGACCCCCCCAGTGAATGCCTGAAACTATGGATAGCACGGAACTGTGTATTTTTAGTATACTTACATATCTACAATAAAGCGTACTTCATAAATTAGGCACAGTAAGAGCAGGTAGAATGGTGTGAGACTTCATGATGCTATTTAGAACGGTGTGCAGTTTAAAACTTTAACATTGTTTTTCTGGAATTTACTATTTTTTTTAGAAGGATTACTTACTCCATTTTATTTATCATCATTATTATTCTTTTAATTTGTGCTCACCAGAGAGAAACAGAGAAAGTAAGAAAGCAAGCTGTGAGGTTCAGGACTTGAACTGTGGTTAGTAGCCATGTAGGAGTCTAGCACTCCAACCACCATGCCACCTACTGTCCCTGCCACTTACTATTTTCTTTTTTGTTTTTAGGAATTATTTTATTTAACTTTATTTATTATTATTATTTTCCAGTTTGATCAGAGAGAGACAGAGAAAGAGAAAGAGGGAAAGTAAGAAAGTAAGCCGCCACGTCCAGGACTCAAACCACGGTCAGTCATGTTGGAGTCCAATGCCTTTAACCACCACGTCACCTGCTGTCCCTACCAATTACTATTTTCAACGGCAGTTGACCATGGTTAATGGAAACCATAGACAATGAAATCCACAAATAAGGTGGGGACAGGTGGGGACTGTACTGTTACTTCTCCCAAGAGGGATATGTATCAACTAAGTAAGTACTTAGAAGTAGATGATGTTCTTCAGCTGCTGTTTTCCCCCTTTCCCCTGCAGGCTCATTTATGGACTGGGCTAGAGTGTAACTCTCGTCTTTTCAGTATTTTTCCTATAGCCTTAGTGTTTTGAAATACTTCCAGAAACAAAAGTGTTCCATATCAAGTGAGCTTGAGAAATGCCCTGCAGGCTTGAAGAGTCACAGTGCATAATAGCATATTAGAAATCTAGGAAGGTGTGTCATAAAGAGATTGGCCTAAAAATGTTTAGAATTATTAACCACAGTGGGACCTTTTCTACATGTCACTCATTAACATTCCATGGAGTCTCTCTGTCTCTATCTGGTCAAATTAAAAAATAAAATTAACAAATGGAATTAAATAATTTATTTTTTTAAATGAAATTAAATAATTTTTTATTTTTTTAAATAAGAGAAGGGCCAGCAGGTGTCATAATGGTTAAAGACGCTGGATTCCCACATGGCTGACCGTGGTTCGGGTCCTGGATCTGGCGGCTTGTTTTCTCGCTTTCCCTTTCTCTGTTTCTCTCTGTGTCTTTTAGGTCAAATTGAAAAATAATAATAAATGGAATTAAATAATTTTTTTTTAATTCTATGGAGCACACTTTGGAAAATGTTCCTCTAAACTCCTGATAGCAGAGACACTGTAGAATACCTTTGCCCAAGTACTGTCATATAGCAGACAGCATAATTACGAAAGGCTCCTTGGGCAGCTCAGTGGCCTGACAGTTAAGAGAGCTAGATCCCACATGGCTGACCAGGTTTGAATCCTGGCCCCAGAAAAACTCTCTAGGGACACATGTGTATATGCCCAAAGTCCCAACAGGATGGAAAAATGGAGAAGGGATTGTGGTGTGACCATGTCCCATTAGGTGGTGCTTTCTCTTTCTCTGTGTTACTGTATCTCTCTGGTAAGTGTTGTGCTCTTTAGCAAAGAAAAGGGCAGGGGCACTCCCATATTCTTGAAAGCCTATACCATTTCTTTGGGGTCATAAAGAGAAGAGTCAGGATGAATATACTAGAATGCTGTCCCAGTCTGCTAGTACCATTGGAAGTCACCATGCTTGGAAGAATGTGTTATAACTGGCCCTTATAAGCAATATATCTAGCCCACCATTTTTCAAGTAGAGTAGGAACTGAGAGAGTCCAAGCTGAGAGGGAGATGGCCCAAAGCTGACTAAGTCCAAGGAAACTGGGAAGAGGAAGCATCAGTCCAAGAACAGTTCTTCAGCAGCAGAACTCTAATCCTGGTCCTGGTCAAGACTAGGCAAGGCACTGCAAGCCAATGGGAACAGCAGGAAGACTCTGGAACTGGAGTGCAAGTGATCCCAGGACCTTTATTGGGTTGTCAGAAAAGTCATGATGTGGGGCCGGCAGGTGGTGTGGTGGTTAAGGGCGCTGGACTCCCACATGGCTGACAGTGGTTAGAGTCCCAGATCTGGAGGCTTGCTTTCTCATTTTTCCTCTTTCCTTTCTCTCACTCACTTGTTCTGTCCCTCTCTGGTCAAATTAAAATAAATAAATAAATAAATAAATAAATAAATCAAGTAATTATTTAAAAAGTCATGATGCATTTTTACATAGAAAAAATACATCATGACTTTTCTGACAACCCAATGTATGAATAGATTGTGGATAAAGACCATCTCTCTAGGAAAGGGGAAGTGACTGAGCAGAGATGTAGAAGGGAAAAGAGCTGACCTAGATTAGCTGTATCCCCAAGAGGGATGAGAAACCCAGGTGGGAGGAAGCAGAGAGATTGTCTAAGGTCAATGTCAAAGCAGTAAGTGGAAGACTTCCTGGAATCTAGGTCCGTCTGTTCCCTGAGCGGCTCATTCTCTGTAGGATCCCACGCTGTCAAGAATGACTTACAGGGTAGGGATGAGTAGTCTGTGCGGGAGAATCAAGTTCCAGTCTGCTTGGTAGGACAATGGATAGGGTTTTCCTTCAGATGCTAGTGTCCTAGAAAGAGACAGAAAAAAAACCCTGCTTGGCTTTTGTGGCAAGGTGTTTATACTCCTTTTGCCTCCCAGTTTGCCACATCCAACGTTGGATACACAGTAAAGGGTTTGGTAATTTTTAGTCATAGCAGGCTGATTGATTGAGATGACAATAATTAGTAATGTTTTTCCCCAGGATGCCTTGCAGCAGAGATTGACTCAGCAAGACACATCTGTTCTTCAGCTCAAACAAGAATTATTGAGGGCAAATATGGACAAAGATGAGCTGCACAACCAGACAGTGAGTTACATGAATGAACTCTGACCTCATGAGCCCCATGAGCAGAACAGGATACTGCTCGAAGTGCGGTACATCTGCCATCCTAATCTCTCTTATCTTGCTTCTGGGCTGCGTGTCCTCAGTGTAGGCAGTTAATTTTTATTCCCCATCAGACTCATCTCTGTTCCTAGGTGAAAGCTTACACTATGCTGGACAGGAAAGTCCTTGAGCCCCTCTTCTACTTGGAGGGCTCTGAGACCACAAGAGGCCCCATTGTGGTTCTGCTGTCCCCAGTTCACTGACGACCTGGAGAAGAGCTGTCGTTTTTACCGCAATCATGCTGTATTGCTGTACACTGTAACTGCCAACGTTCATTCTGGTTACTGAGCACTTTCCTTGAAGGTCGGCAGATTATACCTCTATACCAGTGAATTCTTTCTTATTCTTGCAGGTGGATCTGCAAAGGAAGCTGGATGAAAGGAACCGGCTCTTGGGAGAATACAAAGTAAGAATATCAGTTTGTAAATCACTTCTATCTGATTTTTTATGAACAGCCTGTTGTGGCTGTTGCTCAAAGAGCACTTAAATATTCTGTTTGCTTTCTAGAAGGGCTTTTCTTTTTCTTTTTTCTTTTTTTAAATATTTCTCAATTCACTATCCCTGAAGAATAGATAGCATAGCTAGGAGAAGGAACAGAAAACTGGGAATCTGGAAACTTCAGTTTCTAGTCTTACCTTTGTCTCTAATAAGCATGCATGGTACATAGTGGCCCTGCTGCAAGTGGCAGTTACTTCCCCTTTATGCTTCCAAGAGTCCTTTGCACTGCCAAGACCGTTTCAGTGTGTAGCCTTCCTGTAGCTTGAGGACAGGACTGTTGCCCCTGTGGCTCTACTCTGCTCGGATAGAAGTCACAGTGCAAAGGGTGAACTGCTATTCTTTGTTGTGGGTCTTGCCACATGTCCAAAAGCTCAGTCTCTATTGCAGAAAGAGCTGGGGCAGAAGGATCGCCTCCTTCAGCAGCACCAGGCCAAGTTGGAAGACGCACTCCGGAAGCTCTCTGATGCCAGTTACCAACAGGTCGGGACGTATTCAGCTGCTTACTTTCCTGCCCTTTGGCCTGAAACAGTCCTGTCCTAATTCAGTCTTTGTCTTGCAGGTGGATCTAGAACGGGAGCTAGAACAGAAAGATGTCCTTCTGGCTCACTGTATGAAGAGAGAGGCAGACGAGGTAACCTACAGCTTGGGCTCTCCTCCCACAAACAAGGCAAAGAGGAAGATTGTGTTTCTGACCCAGAGCAGTTTGTTAGGAAGCTATGCAGGCAACCAGCAGATAGCGTATAGTTATGTTGCTGGATTCCCATGTAGTTGACCACGGTTCAAGGCCCGGACCTGGTGGCTTAAACCTCACACTAGGTGCATGTGCATTTGTGTCCAAAATCCCAAGAGGAGAATAGAGGAGAAGGAATTGCAGCGTGGCCATCCCCCCAGGGGGTGGGGTGCTTTCTTGATTTCTGTTCTCTGTCTCTTTGGGGAGCACATGTGCCTTATAGCAAAAAAGAAAAAAAAGCTGTGTGATGAGGGGCTTATGAGTGTAGGTTTAGTTGAGAAAACTGGTTTCATGTTCCAGGTTTACTTCAGCATTGTGTGATATTAAGTCGTTCAGCTTCTGAAGCTTAAAAGTAAAGCTTGTCTGGAAAACAGATAATAGCAACTCTTGCTGTCATTATGAGGAATGCATGTGATAATCCACCAGATAACCAAACATAGTCCTATTAAATCCACCTGGCATAGTCTCAGACAAAAAAAATTAGTCATTGTTCTTCTTCTTATTATTTTTTTAATGCTAAAACTAAGGCAGGAGGCCCCAGAGCTTTCTGAGGCCCTCCAGTGGCCATGGCCGAGTCTGGGTCAGGGACTTCAAGGCTCAGGTTTTCATTTCATTCATTCTGTATTCAACAATGTGGGCCAAGGGACCAGCAGTTAGCATAATGGCTATGTCGCTAGACTCCCATGTAGTCGACCACGGTGGCTTAAATTCACGCCGGGCGTGTATGTGCGTGTGTCCAAGATCCCGAGAGGAGAATGGTGGAGAAGGGATTGTGATGTGGCCATCCCCCCAGGGGGTGATTTCTCACTTTCTGTCTCTCTGTCTTTCTGGTGAGCACACACACCCTATAGGAAAAACCTCTCCCCAAAAAAACCAAAAACCAAAAAATAAAACACAACAATGAGGGCCAAGTGTCAAGTGCTGAGGATAGAGCAATAAACAAAAGGGGAGAAAAATCTGTACTCATGAAGCTTACATGTTAATAGAGACATTTAAAAAATAAAAATAAAAAAACAACCTGTTGCTGGGGCTGGCAGGTGGTGTGGTGATTCAGGCACTGGATTCCCACAGGGCTGACTGTGGTTCGAGTCCTAAACCTGGCGGTTTGCACGCGCGCTCTCTCTCTCTCTGTCTCTTTCTCTAGTGAGCATATGTACCCTATAGCAAATGAAAAATAATAACAATAATAATAAAATAAATAAGTTATTTTAAAGAACCACCTACGTACTATGTCAAGAAGTGATAAATGAGGCCAGCCTGTAGCTAACTGGTTAAGAGATCCAGATCCCTGGGGCCAGCAGATGGCATAGTGGTTAAGGCACTGGACTCCCACATGGCCAACTATGGTTCAAGTCCTGGACCTGGCAGCTTGAGAATCACACTGGGTACATGTGCGTGCATGCCCAAAATCTCAGGAGGAGAGTGGAGGAGAAGGATGGTGGCATGGCCATCCCTCTTGAGGAGCGATTTTTCATTTTCCCTCTCACTGTCTCTCTCTGGTGAGCACATGTGCCCTATGGCAAAAAACTTCAAAAAAAAAAAAAAAGTCTAGGTCCCACATAGCCAAACTCAGTTCAAATCCTAGCCCCAGCAGCTTGAAAAAAACACACAGGGCATGTGTGTGTATGTGACCAAAATCCCAACAAGATGTAGAAATGAGTATGTGACCATACCTTATCAGGGGGTGCTTTCTCCCTTCTCCTTTCCTTCCCTTTCTTTCTCTTTCTCTGGTGAGTGCACATGCCCTCTGGCAAAAAGAAAAAAAAAGGTAAATATATGGAAGAAAAGTAAGTTGGAACATCTAACAAGCATCGTTTCTTCTTGCTACTCCAGGTGACCAACTACAACAGTCACAGCTCTCAAAGCAATGGTTTTCTCCTCTCAGCGGCAGGAAAAGGAGCTGTTTCCATCAACCACAGAGGGGTGAGTTCCTCGGATTTGAGTATACACTTGCCACTTTTGGCTGAAACCAGAAAAGTGCCAAGGCATCACCAGTGGACCAGGCTTCTTACATTCCAGTTTCTTAATTCTTGGGTTGTTTTTTGTTTGTTTGTTTGTTTTTGGTGTGTAAAGATGTGAGGTTAAAAAGAAAAAATGTGAGAGACTTGGTATCTGAATCAAAGCTTAGGGCCTCAGGGCTGGCCCTGTAGTGCAGTGATTAAGGATCCCAGGATATGGGACCAATGGGTGGCGTGGTGGTTAAGGTGCTGGATGCTCCCACATGGCTGACCACGGTTCAAATCCTGGACCTGGTGACTTTCTTTCTTTCTTTTTTTTTTTTGGAGAGATTTTCACTATAGGGTGTGTGCGCTCGCCAGACAGACAGAGACATAGAGACAGAAAGGGAGAAATCATCCCCCAGAGGGGATGGTCACGCCGCAATCCCTTCTCCTCCATTCTCCTCTCGGGATCTTGGGCATGCACGTACACGCGCCCGGCATGAATTCTAAGCCTCCGGGTCCAGGACGCGAACTGTGGTCGACTACATGGGAGTCCAGCAACATAGCCATTACGCTAACTGCTGGTTCCCATGGTGGCTTGCTTTCTCACCTTCTCTCTCTCTCTTTCTGTCTGTGTGTGTCTCTCTTGTCAAAATAAAAATGAATGAATAAATAAAGTTAAATAAATAATTAAAAAAAAAAAAAGGATCCTGGGATAGCAGGCTTAGAAAACATATTGAGTGTTTGCATGTACATGCCCAGAATCCCAGGGGAGGAGGATGGAGAAGAGGGGCCAGCTGGTGGCATGGTGGTTAAGGTGCTAGACTCCCACATGGCTGACCATGGTTTGAGTCCTGAACCTGGTGGTTTGCTTTCTCACTTTCTCTCTCTGTCTCTGTCTCAGGTGAGCATATGTGTCCTGTGGCAAATTAAAAAAGGAAATAGTAATGATAAATAAAATAAATCATTCTTTTTAAAAAAAGAGAGAGAAATGGAGGAGAAAAGATTACAGCATGACCATGCCCCATGTGGAGGGCAAGTGCTTTCTCCCTCTTCCTCTCTTGTGAGTGCATATGCCCTCTAGCAATTAAAAAAAAATTAGTTGGTAAACAGTAGGCCTGGATATATGGAAGAAAATTTCCTATAGTTTCCTCCTTCCCCGTCAACTCCACAGAAACATCTGTTCTAGAAACTTGGCTCTTCTGTGGTCTTAAGTCTAACCACCAAGACGTGGGGGCAGGTCTGTAGTGCAAAGGCAAAAAGTACTGTGCACAGGGAGCCAGATTCTACATGGCTGACTGAGGTTCAGATCCCAGCCTTGGTGGTTCAAAAAACACAATGGGCATGTGTGTGTATGCGTGCCCCAAATCTCAACCCCGGGAGAAATGGTGGCAAAAGGATAGCAATGTGACCACACCCCGCTGAGTGGTGCTTCTCGTTCTCTCTCCTAAGTAGATGCGCCTTCTGATATGTAAGAAAAGAAGTAATAATACTGCGCTGTGCTATGCTGACAGCACCTTGTGTTTGTCCATAGACCAGTGACCTGCAGCTTGTCCGAGATGCTCTCCGTAGCCTGCGCAACAGTTTCAGTGGCCATGATCCTCAGCACCACACCATTGACAGCTTGGAGCAGGGCATCTCCAGCCTCATGGAGCGCCTGCATGTCATGGAGACACAGAAGAAACAAGAGAGAAAGGTAATCCTCCTGCCATGGGGTCTCTTAGACAAGTCCCTGAGGCAACTTTTTTTTTTTTTTTCCATTTTAATCTGGATTAAGGCAGTGCTAAAACAGATAAAACCCCGCTGTCCTTACAGTTCTCTTCCTCTTTGGTGTTCCTCAGTGGAACTGACTATCATGGTTTGACAATCCAGGAAGTACCTGATAAATACTGCTCTCAGCAACTGCAGGGCTATCTAAGGCATTGCAGTCCCTGAGGCAACTTTTTTTTTTTTTCCATTTTAATCTGGATTAAGGCAGTGCTAAAACAGATAAAACACTGCTGACCTTACAGTTCTCTTCCTCTTTGGTGTTCCTCAGTGGAACTGACTATCATGGTTTGACAATCCAGGAAGTACCTGATAAATACTGCTCTCAGCAACTGCAGGGCTATCTAAGGCATTGCAGGTTTTGATACTACTGGGTCTCCCCCTCCTGTGTATTCCTTTCCTCTTCTCCCTGAATGAGCTTGCCATTGGATGAGAAAAATAGGGAAAATGTTTTGGAAACTAAAAAGTCTTTTATAAACATGCATGATTATTGTTAGGGTAAATATGTCCAATTTTATATACTATGGAAAAAGAGCTGGTAGAAAAGTATATAGTCTAGGTACACCTTTATGATGTAAATTTCTAGTTAAGTTTTTCCATTGATCATAAATGCCGTGATTTTTGTATGGCTCTCCAGGTTCGGGGCAAGTCACCCAGAACTCAAGCAGGTGGTGAATACCGGGAGTCCTGGCCCCCTAATTCAAGTAAGTACCCATTACAGCTCAGTAAGGATGCCAAGCATTTTGGTTCAGAAACTTAATCTTTCTCATTCTTGTATAGAATTTTTCTTTTTTTAAAAAATTTAATTTTAATTAATTTATTTTTTTGAGAGGTTTTTGCTATAGGGTGTGTGTACTCGCCAGACAGACAGAGAAAGACAGAGAGACAGAAAGTGAGAAATCACCCCCGGGGGGGATGGCCATGCCACAGTCCCTTCTCCTCCATTCTCCTCTCGGGATCTTGGGCACGCACGCACACACGCCTGGCGGGAGTTTTAAGCCACTGGGTCCAAAACTTGAACTGTGGTCGACTACATGAGAGTCCAACGACATAGCCGTTACGCTAACCGCTGGTCCCTAGAATCTTTCTTTTGACCTAATAATTTCACATTTATGTGTTAATGCTATTGGAATAATTGAACAATTATAAAATAATTTGGTGTTTTTTTCCTTTAAAGGTCAGAAAATTAGGAATAACCTAAATGATCAACAGGAAGTGATCAAAATATTATCTGGTATTCCGTATAGTGAAATATTGGTCAATCATTTTAAAAAGTGCCATTGATTAATATTCATCCCTGTGAAAATATATTAAAGATACAAAAATGTTTAGTAAAAACAAACTATGAACTGCAGAGTTATAAAATAAAATGCATAGGTAGAATAATGTTAGGACATGGGCATTAATTCCTGCATCATGACATAATAGGTACTTTGTGATTAAAACAAGATCTTTGTCTTTTGTGTGGGAGCGGGATCTTGGGCACGCACGCACACACGCCTGGCGGGAGTTTTAAGCCACTGGGTCCAAAACTTGAACTGTGGTCGACTACATGAGAGTCCAACGACATAGCCGTTACGCTAACCGCTGGTCCCTAGAATCTTTCTAGTAGTGCTTTCATAATATTTTGTTTTCTGTAGCAGTGGTGAAAATAACAAAATTCTAGGACTATGAATACATATGCCATCATCACTACCTCTGTCATCCAGAGTATCATTTAACCACTAGCAGGATGCACTGACTCAGAGGGTAAAATTTCTTGGAAAATACACAATCTCATGCTAAACAGTACAAAACATAAGACAACAGAAATGGACTCATATAGTCCCAAGACAGCACAAAAACAAAACAAGAAAAAGCAAAAAAACCCTTTCTACTTTTTCATAAAAGCTGAAAGTTTAATTTCTTTGGAGATTTTCCCAAAAGATTGAGTGCTTAGGTCATTCACTTTAAGTCCTGCAAAATATTTGCACCACTGGGACCAGCAGATGGTGTAATGGTTACGCTGCTGGACTCCCACATGGCTGACCATGGTTCGAGTCCTGTACTCAGAGGCTTGAAACACACTGGGTGCATGTACATGCACACCCAAAATCCTGAGGAGAATGGAGGAGAAAGGATTGCGGCATTGCCATCCCCCCCGGGTATTGATTTCTTGCTTTCTTCTCTCTATTCTCTGTGTCTCTCTGGCAAGTGCACGCACCCTATAGCAAAAATCTCTCTTAAGGAAAAGTAAAAAAATATATATATAATGTATATTTATATCTATATACATATATAACATATATGCATAAATATAATATATATATACATATAACATATAAATATATATGTTATATTATATGTCTAAGTCCTGGACCCAGTGGCTTGAAAAACAACATTCAATGTTTTCTCTCTCCCCCTCTCTCTTTCTCTCTTTCTTTCTTTTAATTTGCTATAGGGCACATGCACTTCTCAGAGAGAAAACAGAGAAAGGGAAAGTGAGAAAGCAACCCCCAGGGGAGATGACCATGCCACAATCCCTTCTCCTCCATTCTCCTCTTGGGAATTTGGGTGCACACATGCACCCTATGTTTTTCAAGCCACTGGGTCCAGGACTTAGACCCCACGTCAGCCATATGGGATCCAGTCACCTTAGCCACTATGCCACCTAGGTAGCCCAATTCAGTGTTGTTCCCCCCCTTTTTTTCCCAGCTTATAAATCTACTCTCTTTGGTAATTTCTATTCGGTTTAAACTTTACCTTTTATTTTAATATTGTTGGTGTTTCTTATCTTTTTTCTAGGCCTAATCTAAGAATATCTGAAAAAAGATACCAAGTAGGAAACAGCAGACTAGAACCAGTTTTCTATGTATATTACATGTACTTTTTTTTCCCCTTTAATTAAAGACAGAGTTTCACTGTGTTGTAGTCCTCCTGCCTCAGTTTCCCGGATTGGTGGGATTGCAGGCACATACCACCATGCCCAGGCTATAGGTTGGACCAGGAATTAAATCAAGGCCCACCATGTGGTCCCAGCCTGCGGAGAACAGTATCTCAGCAACACATGCCACCATGTCTGGGCCCATATACAGTTTTTTAGGCTTTTGCCATAGGATGTGTATGCCTGTCAGAGAGACAATGCGTTGGAAAGTGAGAAAGCACCCTCCAGGAAAATGGTCAAGTCACAATCCCTTCTCCATTCTTCTCCTGGGGTTTTGGATATGTACGCACATGTGCCTAGTGTAAGTTTCAAGCTACCAAGTCCGGGACTTGAACCAAAGTTGGCCATGTGGGAGTCCAGTGCCTTAACCATCATGCAACCTGCTGGCCTTACATATAATTTTAAAAAACATTACTAGAAAAACAAAGTAAAACACTTAAAATATCTGCACAAATCTGAAATATAACATTTTTGTAGAAAAACATTCTCAAATGAGACATCTGTACTGGGAATGAAACAAGTTATTTTAGTTCCAAGATTTCAGTTTCTTTTTCTAGCGTTGCTTTGGAATAGTCATTTCTATTTTCTTTAAATGATTTATATTTTATCATCCTCTTTAGTACTTTCTGTAGGTTAGTATAAACTGCCAGTTTAAATAGGTCTAAATATTTAGAAATTCTCTTTTCAAAAGTCTAAATTTCTCCCTCTCTAGAAATATCATTTTGTGTATATATAGTGGTTATTCAAAATATGACAAATAAATTCACAGCTCCTTGCAAACTAGGATGTTAATCTAAAGCTTTTAGTGTTATTCATATTCACAAACAAGCTTAAATGTCTCCACTGAATATACAAAAATCTATATAACTTTCCTAGCCCTCTCGCTGCTGACATATTTTTTATTTTTCCACCCCACATTTCTTAGAAGAACAGGCTATAGGCTGGCTAAGTGGCCTAGAGGTTAAGGTGGTCAGATCCCACATGGCTGATTGTGGAGTTTGAATCCTGGGCCCAGTGGCTTGAAAAACACTCAGGGTGCATGTGGGTGTATGCCCAGAATCCCAACAGGGTGGAAAAGTGATTTGTAGAAGAAAGGACTGTGGTGGGACTGTGCTCCTTCCATCAATACTACATCCATCTGTGCTGCCACTGTTTGACATTGGAGAAATTGAGATGAACAAGACGCTCTGGGAACAGGGCCTGCAGGTGGCATAGTGGGTAAGGTGCTGGACTCCCACGTGGCTAACTGTGGTTCGAGTCTCAGACCTGGTGGCTTGAAACTCACACTGGGTGCATGTGTGTACATGCCCAAAATATCAAGAGGAGAAGGGATTGTGGTATGGCCATTCTTTCTGGGGATTTCTCACTTTCTTTCTCTGTCTCTGGCCAGCGTGCACACCCTATAGTAAAAATCTCTTAATAAAAGGTTAAAAAAAGAGATACACTGGGGACTTGCCCTTTTTGGACTGCAGTTAGGGAACTAGATACCCCAGTTTCCATTCTAGCTCTCTGATCACTAACTTTGCCTAAATCTCCTTTTCTTTTTGTAACATTGAGGGTCAATGTGTTCTGAAATGTGTTTGAAGCTGAAAACCTAGGCCTCATATTCTCTTTAAGTGATCCCTCCACTCTCTGATCTTTAACTACTCTTACGTGTTATTATCTATCTAAGGTTTATTTCTTTGAGTGAGAAGGGCACCTCCAACAGGGTCCCCATGCTGTGATCCACCCCTCAGCTGGCCTGGGCCAGGAGTACTCATGTGTGTATACCCAAAGTGCTCAGGGACATAAACTTAAGTCCTAGGACATAAACCCAGGACCTGTGCTTTGTGGGTTCAGCTATATCACTGCTTGGTCTCTGTTTTTAAACTTTTCTCTCTAAACTCAGCTCTTTTCTGAGCTTCAGGGCTATGCTTTAGAATGTCTACTGGATATCTCTTTGTAGGTCCAAAGGCATTTGAAATTCATGTCCTGGGCTAGTGAGGTGGCATGATGATTAAGTTTGCTGGGTCCCATATGGCTGACTGCACAGTTCAGGTCCCAGACGCAGCACTTGAAAAATATGCCAGAGTATTTGTGTGCATGCTCTACGTCCTGAAAGGAGAGTGGAAGAGAAGGAATTGCCTTATGGCCCTCCTTTGGGGTGTGTGTATGTGTGTGTGTTGGGGGGGGTTCTTACATTCTTTGTCTGTCTCTTTCCAGCAAGTTCATACACACTATAGCAAACAAAAACAAAAAAGAAGGAAGGGAGAAGTTCATATCTAAAACTGACCACAAAATAATAGAGTGGGAAAAATACAGAATATAGAATCACACAGATCTAGGGTACAATTTCGGCTCTGCTACTCAGCAGTTCATGTCTATGGACAAGAGTCATAATTAATTAATGTCACTGAATTTTTGCTTCCTTGTCTGTAGAACAGAGATAATCTTGAGGGATTTGAACATTAAGTCAGATATTATATGGACAGTACAGTGTAGGGCATATAAGAGATACAAGACAAATCTTAATAGTTTAAGATATTTTTCTTTCATTCTTTTCTGGCTCTGCCTTTCTCCTTTTTATTCTTCCCAGGTTTCTTGAAAGTATAATCTACTCTCTGAACCCACTTCCTTTCTTGACATTTTACTCTGAAGGAAAAATAACAATCATTTTATATTTTAAAAATAGAGCATGGAGCCAGCTGATGACATGGTGGTTAGGCAGCTGAATTCCACATGGTTGATTGTATGGTTTGAGTCCTGAGCCCGGCATCTTGAAAAACATGCCAGGCATGTATACATACATGCCCAAAATCTCAAAAGAAGTAGAGGAGAAGAGATTGTGGTGTGACCATCCCTCATGGAGATGGTTTCTCACTTTCTCTCTCTTTAGCAAGCACACACACCCCCTAATAAAATCTTTAAAAAGTAAAGAAAAAAGCAAACGAGCAGACACACACAATAGAAGTGTATTTTCTCACACTTCTCAAGGCTGGAAGTACATGATCAGGGCTCCAACATGGTCAGGCTCTTGTGAGGGTTCTCTTCCTGGCTTGCAGGAAGGTGCCTTCTCTCTGTGTCCTCACTTAGAAACAGCTCCCGTCTCTTCCCCTTCTCATGGGGCACCAGTTCTATTGTATCTTCACCTTCATGACCTCATTTAATGGTAATCACCTCCTTAATGCAGTCACATGGGGGTTAGGGCTTCAACATAGGAACTTGTTGGGGGAACACATTTCAGACTATAGCAATTTTTTTTTTATTTTTTAAAAGTTTATTTATTTCCTCTATTAGCAAGTGAGAGTGAGAGAGCCCCAATAGGGTCTTGGTGCCACAGTCCACCTCCAGCTCTAGCCAGTCCTAGATCACAGGAACACATGCACCTGGAATATCAGGGAGGGCTCTGGATGTGCACCTGGAACCTCGCCATGTGAGTCAGCCTCAGAGAGTGTCATGCTTTACAGCTGTACCACTGTCCAGTCTCCCATATTTTCATGTTTATTTTATTATATTGTTTGTTAACTGTCTCTTTCTCTTCTAGACATGCAGCTCCCTAAAGATAAGGATTATATCTAACTTATTTGTACATCTTAAATACTTGACATATAATAGGCACCCAATGGACATCTTATATGAATAGGTGAACTAATTCACTTTTGTCCCTCTGAATTAGGTAGTGGTATTACCACACATCTGTCTTTCCAGATGACAAATCTCAGTTGTTTTCAGCTTTTCCCTTTTATGCCTTATGTTCAACTATATCCCTGGTACCAAGACTTTTACCCTTCATTTTATTTTTATTTTTTGCTATCAGAGAGAGACAGAAACAGAAAGAATGAGAGAAGGAAAGTGAAAAAGCACCTACCAGTGGGGGATGACCATGCTGCAAACCCTTCTCCTCCATTCTCTTGCAATCCTGGGCATACATGCATGTGAGTCCCACCCATAGAGTCTGGGACTCGAACCATTTAGTCAGCCATGTGGGATCCAGCTGTCCCAACCTTCAAGCCATCTGGCTCAACTTTTATCTTTTAAAGTTCTTTCCAATCCATCCTTTCTCTAGTTCTAGGGCTACATCATATTCTTCCTCATCTTTCAGGGTTTTTTTCTCTTTAGTTATGACAGTATACATGTACATACATGTGAAAGTAAGTGTATGTGTGAGAGGAAGAGAGAGTCAGATCCTGGGCACCTGTGCGAGTACTCACCCAGTATGTTTCAGGCTGACCGGGCCGGGGGTTCACACTGTGGTTGCCATGGTGGAATCTGGTGTCTGTTGAGCAGCACATTACCACCGAGCCACGGAGCTAGCCATTCAGGTTGTTATAATTGTCCCCCCTCCCCTTTTTAAAAAAAGAATTATTTATTTGATATTTTTTTATTCATTCATTTATTTCATTTGACCAGAGAAAGACAGACACACAGAGAGAAAGAAAATGAGAAAACAAGCCACCAGGTCCAGAACTCAAACAGTGTGTCGGCCATGTGGGAGTGTCCAGTGCCTTAACCACCACGCCACCTGTAATTGCCTCTTAATGGGACTACTGGTTTCTAGAGTCTCTCCCATCTGATCCATATTTTGCTGCTAGATTGACCTTTCTAAAATGCTAGTCTGGGCATCTCACCACCTTATACACCTCCCCATAGCTAAAGATGAGTATCTTCAAGTCTTGACCTACAAGTCAGAGACTTTTGTGATCCAAGCTGTGTCTACTTTATTATCCTCTTCCCAGCATATTCCTTATGCCACAGCCTTACACTTTCACCTAACTCTTATAAAGACATGATTCCATCTCATGCCTTTGCATATGTCCTTGCATCTCCTGAAATATCCTTTCCATCTTCTCTCGCTCATGACTTTTTGTAAGGCTGTTTTAAAAAGGATTCTCTAACTGTGGTGCTTTCCCAACCTTTTCCCAAAGGGAATTTACCTCTCCATCCTCAGTCTCCTGATACAGCTTGCACAAATCTGATTTTAGCATATTGGCAATATTTGTAATTGTGTCTATTGTCCATACTACACTGTAAACGCTTGGCAGTCAGAGACCACATGGAATTGATTTTTATAATCTCAAAATCTACCACATGGCAGGTGGCATGGTGATTAAGGTGCTGGAATCCCACATGGCCAAGTGCAGTTTGAGTCCTAGACCTGGTGGTTTGCTTTCTCACCGCCCTGCCCCTCCCCCCATCTCTCTCTGGTCAAATGGGAAAAAAATACAATTAAATAATTCTTTTTTTTTTCTTTTTTTGGAGAGGTTTGTGCTATAGGGTGCGTGCGCTCGCCCGACAGACAGAGAGAGACAGAGAGACAGAAAGCGAGAAATCCCCCCCCAGGGAAGATGGCCACGCCGCAATCCCTTCTCCTCCATTCTCCTCTCAGGATCCTGGGCATGCACGTCCACACGCCTGGCATGAGTTTAAGCCACCGGGTCCGGGACTCTAACCAAGGTCAACTACGTGGGAGTCCAGCGACATAGCCATTACACCAACTGCTGGTCCCAATTAAATAATTCTTTTAAAAAATAATCTACCACATAGCAGGTACTCAATAAATGTTCAATAAATGAGTGAATCAATTATATAACTTAATGCTAAAAGTGAATATTTTATTTATTCAGCAATCAGTATGTGCCAAGAACTGTGTTGGGTTCTGACGCAAAGGAGAATCATGGCATATAGATCACAATAATTGCTGTTCTGTGAAGAAAATCTCTGGAAACTGAATGTGGTTGCTGTGCAAAGAAAAGAAGTTCCCGGGTCGGCAGGTGGTGTGGTGGTTAAGGGCACTAGACTCCCACATGGCTAACTGCGGTTCGAGTCCCAGACCTGGCAACTTGCTTTCTCACTTTCCCCTCTGTCTCTCCCTCTCTCACTCTGTCTTTCTCTGGTCAAATTTAAATTAATTAACAAATAAAGTTATATAAAAATTCTTAAAAACAAAAAAGTTCCCTTATTTTCTCTCCTGCCTTAATTCGTCCATCCTACTCTCCTTCATTTTCACCCCTCTCCTAGAACTTCTTTCCTGTGGCTGCCAGTTTGACTGGGATCAATGCCTGGAATAAGTTAAGAAAACATATGTAGGTGAAATTTCTAGAAAGATTTTAGTAAAAGTCATATTATTGGTTATTGGTCCCTATGATAAATTTCCTGATTGGCCTTTTCTCCTCTTATCTTAATGTCATAATTACAAGTACTCACTAATTGCACTTTTCAAGGGATATTAGTGAGGGACTTGCCCCTTAGAACAGATGTTAAGCCCTGTACATCGGGGTCCATATCCCACATGGTCCTCCACAGTTGGAATCCAGCTCTAGCAGCTTAAAAAGGCATGCAGAGTGTGTGTGTGTATGTGTGTGTACACATACCTGCCCCAAATCCCGATGGAATAAAAGCTTGCAACATGACCATGCGCCACAGAGGAGGTGCTTTTTCTCTATCTCTGACTTTCTGGCAAGTGCATGTGCCCTTTTGCAATAGTAATAATAAAAAGATGTTGGTGAATGGATAAGCACATAGATGAGTAGGACAAAACAGGATAGAGATAAGATGTGGATTAGAATACCTGAATGATCACAATACCAGAACTGAATGGTCGCACAGCCATAAAACTCTATTTGGTCGGGAACCAGCAGTTAGCGTAATGGCTATGTCGCTGGACTCCCACGTAGTCGACCGCGGTTCGTGTCCCGGACCCGGTGGCTTAAAACTCACGCCGGGCGCGTGTGCGTGCGTGCCCAAGATCCCAAGAGGAGAATGGAGGAGAAGGGATTGCAGCGTGACCATCCCCCCTGGGGGGTGATTTCTCGCTTTCTGTCTCTATGTCTCTCTCTGTCTGTCGGGCGAGCGCACGTGCCCTACAGTGAAAAATCTCTCCAAAAAAAAAAAAAAACAAAAACAAAACTCTATTTGGTGAAGGTGACCTATATGGGAAGATGTGGGTTTGTACCTGGAGACCTCCTGGAGTATGCTTGTTACACGTTTGTCCGTGATCGAGGGTTGGCTGAACTAGGGGTGGATTGCAGCATCAAGATCCTGTTGGAGAACTCTGTTTTTCTTTCTCATAGAGGAAATAAAATTAAAACACACACACAGGACCAACACATATAGATCCTATGTAGCTACAGTTCAGGTGGGTCATGTACCTTTTAGACTAGAAACGTAGATACTTGTCTGATTTTCTAAGGTATCTTTGTTCCTGTGGTTCTTATTCCCACTGATTTTTCTTTTCATGAATTGTATGACTTCTCTCCTGCTGACCTCAAAAACCCAGAGGTTGGCAGAATCTGTAGCTCTGGCTTCTGCTCTGTTGTAGTTGAAATCTTGTCAGGCTTCTCTGTCCTCTTGATCCTTAGTGGCATGCCTGACAGATGAACTGCTATTTACCTGGAATGGGTAAGGAATGATGGTCCTCATGATAGTGTCCATGCCTCGAGCAACCTCTTGTCCTGGTCCTGACTTCCTGTGGATCATACCCTCTGGACATTATGTTTGGCAAGGGGGTGAGGGTTGTGCTGTGGCCTCAGGCTGCTTCATTCTCTTGAGACACTTTTAATAACTGGAAATAAAGGGTGGTTTGGAGCAGATCACAAGTTCTAACCACAAAGTCTCTCTCTGATTGCAGAGTTGCCTCACTCACAGAGCTCACCAACTGTCAGCAGCGCCTGCACTAAAGTGCTCTATTTCACTGACCGGTCACTTACGCCCTTCATGGTCAATATACCAAAGAGGTGAGATTATGGGATCATCATTTATCTGTAAAAAAGGAGGACAGAACTATTAGTTACTATTCATAAGAGCAACTAGAAGGTGTTTGAGAAGCAGTGGGGTGTAGTGAGAAGAGCTCAGGAGGCTGAGATTCTAATTCCAGCTCCACCACTAACCAGCGACATTACAAGGGACAGGTCATGACCTGCTGGCGGGTACAGGTACAATAATAGTTATTTCCAATCCTGGTAACTGTGCAAATATGCTTAAGTTTGGAAAAATAGCTTTGTAAGTGTTCAAAATAGCTCCTGCTGATAGCCATGGTTTGCAGCCTGGCACTCACTCTGGGGCTGTTACTCATTAATCTTTGTTACTATTTGAGGAATCCAAGTAATCCCAATTGAGAATATATGTTAAAAACCTTCCAAAGGCTTAGTTAACATATTTCCTTCCAAGGGAGATGGTTTTGAAATAAAGATTTTTAAGCTTTGGAAGCAACCACTGAGAGAGGTTATTGAATTTTTCTTCAAAGAAAGTTTGCTTATTTGATCTAGGTTAGAGCCAGTTTCCTAAAGATAGAAGGATAAAGACTGTGACACTTGATTCAATTCTATCAACCTAAAAAACTGCAATATTATAGCAATGAAGGAAATCAAGAGAATTTAGACATTTATGGTTGTTCAACAAATTTGACTTCAGAGACCTCATGTCTCATTTCCAGAGAAAACCAGGAAAAGTGATTTGCCTGCTGCTGCTGCTGCTGCTGCAGTAAATTGATTTTAAGTTCTCAGATCACCCTGAATGTAATGCCATTTTCATTGCCTAATGGTGGTGATTCCCCAGCTTCTGTGTTCTGGAATCCCCTAGGTTATTGGAGGAGTGGCCGAATAAAGCCATGTGATTTCTGTTTGTTGTCTTTGGCAGGGGTCTGGTTTTAAAACCAACATCTTATCTTTCCAACCAACTGATCACTAGTCTGTTTTAGTTCACTCTCCTTTTGTTGCAGGTTGGGAGAGGTGACATTGAAGGATTTTAAAGCAGCTATTGATCGCGAAGGGAATCACCGGTATCACTTCAAAGCACTGGATCCTGAGTTTGGCACTGTCAAAGAAGAGGTACAGAATCCATGGGAGTCGGGGTGGTATTACTGGTCTGGGCTTCCTATTCAAGACAGTAAATTGATTTTAAGTTCTCAGATCACCCTGAATGTAATGCCATTTTCATTGCCTAATGGTGGTGATTCCCCAGCTTCTGTGTTCTGGAATCCCCTAGGTTATTGGAGGAGTGGCCGAATAAAGCCATGTGATTTCTGTTTGTTGTCTTTGGCAGGGGTCTGGTTTTAAAACCAACATCTTATCTTTCCAACCAACTGATCACTAGTCTGTTTTAGTTCACTCTCCTTTTGTTGCAGGTTGGGAGAGGTGACATTGAAGGATTTTAAAGCAGCTATTGATCGCGAAGGGAATCACCGGTATCACTTCAAAGCACTGGATCCTGAGTTTGGCACTGTCAAAGAAGAGGTACAGAATCCATGGGAGTCGGGGTGGTATTACTGGTCTGGGCTTCCTATTCAAGAACTAGTACCCAAAAGTACTCAGGTGAGTTTATTTCTTTCCTTTTTTTTTAGTTAGATTTTATTTTATTTTTTTTTTGGAGAGAGAATTTTGCCAGAGTACGTTCACTCATCAGAGAGAGAGAAAGTGAGAAATCATCCCACAGGGGAGATGGCAATCCCTTCTCCATTCTCCTCTCGGGATCTTGGGCCATGCATGTACGGCTTGAGTTTTAAGCCACTAGGTCTTGAAATGCAGTCAACTATGTGGGAGTTCAGCGACATAACCATTATGCCATCTGCTGATCCCTTAGGTGAGTTTCTTAAACAGGACAGTGGAATGTGCTGGAGTCTCAGACCCCGGTCTGATTATTTTAGATGAAGATGGTCATAGAATGGCCCAAGTACTGATAGCTTCTTTGGTTTTATGACTTAATCACTTTATTTATTTATTTATTTATTTACTTTTCAACTTAATCACTTTGACCAAGAACTTGGATAGAAGTTTTATCTTAAAAGGAAAACTTTTATTTTGTTAGGGAAAAATAAAGAACTTAAGACAATATTTAGTCTATCTGTAGCCAAATTTTAGATAACTTGCCTCCTATGGAGAGCAAAATAAACCAATAAGCATGAATATATGGAACTGTACATTATGTGATGGTCATTTCTCATGAAGAAAATAAGGGGGCCAGCAGGTAGCACAGAGGTGAACGCACTTTATCCCACATTTGGCTGTGTGGTGTGAGTCCAAGATCCAGCAGTTTGAAAAACATGCCAGGCATGAGTTCGTGTGTGCTCACAATCACTGTAGATGAATAGAGGAGAAAGGATTGTAGCATGGCTATCCCCCCTGAGGGGTGATTTCTCATTTTTCCTCTCTTTCTCTTTCTGTCTCTGGTGAGCACACATGCCTTATAGCAAAAAAGTAGAAGAGAGGCCAGTAAGTGGCGTGGTGGTTAAGGCACTGGACTCCCACATGGATGACTGTAGTTCAAGTCCCAGACCCAGTGGCTTGCTTTCTTGCTCTCAAGCACACGTCCTATAACAAGTTAAATAAATAAATAAATAAATTTTACAAGACTTTATTTATTGAGAGACAGAGATAGCTCCTCTGAAAGGGTTCTGATGCTGCTGTCTACCCCCAGCTTCAACTAGCCCAGCTCATGGGTACAGGTGAGTCTAGAGTACTCAGGGAGGTCTCTAGACTTGAACTGGCAACCTTCCTACATGAGTCCTCCTTGCAGAGCATGGAGTTTTAGTGCTATGACATCATCTAATTCCTCTTCTACTTTCTTATCTTTTGCATTTGAAGTTTTATTTTCATCAGTAGCAGTTGTTTAGTGAGACTCTCTACCTCCCTTTGAAGTTTTTCACTGTTGCTTGTTTTGTTTTTCTAGGTTTTCCATGATGATGATGCTATCCCTGGATGGGAAGGGAAAATTGTAGCCTGGGTGGAAGAAGACCATGGAGAGAATTAATGCTGAGCATTAGATTGAGGGCTTGTGAAATCTGGTCACTCCCTGGCTGTTTTACTCAGGAAAGGGACTAAAACCAGAATATGCTAGGAAGTTTCTATAATTCATGCTGCCAAAACAGAAGCTTCTCCAAGTGTGATGGCCGCAGGCCAGTCTTGTTTCTGTGCCTGGCATATCTGGTACCATGGTTTCATCTGGAGTTCCTTGTCCGTGGGAACACAGTGTTTTGTTCTACTCTGAAGATAACAAACCCGAAGGCCTTAACAAGTGGGGATGGATGATCTCGCTCCTGTAGGGGCATGGCTGCTATTATCTGGAACCTGGGAATTGGATGCATCACTCCTGGGTGTTATGGTATTATTTTAATTGGCCTCAATGGTTGCAGCAATCAGAGTCCCAGCAATTGTACTCACAGACAAGGCAAAGGTACCAGCTTCTCTGCTTCTTTGCAGCTATTGCAAACCAAGAATAACTCATGAGGTGGTACCAAAGATGAAAGCCCACTCTTCAGTAATCTTTTGAACTGGACACAGATGGTGCTGAATTGTTGATTGGATGGAAAGGGCTGCCCATATTGTGCTATACTATGCTAAATAATTAAAGAAGACCTTGGGCTGCCTCTTCCAGTCTTAACTGGTCTGCAGCTTGTCCTTTAGCCCAGATAGGGCGTGTTTCATGTACTGCTAGTTTTCTCTGGGGACTCTTTAACTTTAGAGCCATTTATTTTTCTTCAAACCAATGAACTTTGTGTTTGAAAGGAATGAGGAGTAAAAGACTCCTTAAAAATCCAGGCGGGTATGGAAAGGTGCTGCTACCCATATCTTCTTGACTTTCTTTGTTCATGACTTTAACTCATGGCATCTTCTCTGCAGTTCAAAGGAGACAGACCATTACTTTCAGTATTTCTTTGTGACTTTTGAGTACTGAGCATGAATTACTGGTCTGCCCCTCTTTATTTCAAGGCTGGAGTTATTTTCTATTACCTGTTTAGTCTAGGCTGATCCTTTAGGGCACAATAGAAACCATGGAGGCATGGAGTATGAGTTGTGAAGGCAGGGTTGATTCTGGGTGTAGAAACTTAGAATCATTTTTCATGTGCAACCTTGTGAAGCAGAGAAGCAAAAAGAATTCAACTTCCAGAGATAACTTAGTAACCTGGGTTTTCTCATTCATCCACTAGGCACTGTCAACCATCCAACCATTTTTATTTATATATATATTCCCCAAAGTGTTCTGCTGGTGGCTACCAATGTACACTGCCAAATGAAGAGCAGGACAGATCAGTTCTGGGTTCTTGACCTGTCTGTCTCCAGTTCATGTCTCCTTTTCAGCCATTTCAACAGACTACTCTTTGGAGCTCTGAGCAGACATTTGTTGTTTTATATAGATAGGTCTTTTAAAAATAGTTCATGTTTGGAGAATTCTTTTGTACTCATTTGCTTTTTTGTCTGAAAACCATGTCTATTTTTATAACTGGAGTGTGAGTTCTGTATATTCTCACATTCTGTATACTGTATCCATTTTCTAGAGAACCCAGTAGCTTTTATACAGTCTCTTCTTACCACCCCTTGTGGTTTCAAAACAAGCTTTATTTTATTATTACAAGTATACTAATGACAGCTAATTCCTGTTCCAGTACTACCTGTCACTTTAGTTGTGGAGGTAGTTTTATGTAATCCAGTTGACTGCTCCTCTAGCAGACAGAAGGAGCAAAAAGACACCTGTTGTCTTTCATGTAAGTTGACCTGGTCTTCTATTGAAGAATGAATTGTCATCAGAAATGACTGGGAAAGTTTGGGAATGTCCGCCAAAAAACAAGAACAATTCATTATGAAAGCAAGCCGAAAACAGTGTATTTACAGCTTTTTCCCAGAAAGTCTGGAGAAAAAGTCCTCATGTCACCAATTTCTCTGTTGCATGAATTTAGTGTTTTGCTCTAAGACAGCATGAGAGTTTTCAGGCCAAAATTCGTCACTGTATTTCCAAGTATAATTGATCTTGAATGTCTGTCTAACAGTTTTTGTCCATTTTCTTTTAGCAAGCAGTCTTACCATTATGTGGAACTTAACTTTTTGGAGAAATTAAATTGGAAATGTTTCCAAGTCCTCCTTACTTGTCTTATATCTCTTTTTAGAAAAGGAGCTGCATGGCCTCAGTGCCTCAATACAAATCTCATGTGCCATGGGAAATGACTAAGAATCCCTTCCTAGAAGAGGTCACTCTGTTAACTTTTGTGTAAAATGTGCTGGAGATCCTCATGGCAATTTCTAAAGTGAGAGGAGCCTTCTGAGCAGGAGTGTGCGTTGATTCATTCTGTTTCGAGTAAGTCCCCTAGTTGGCTGCATTCTGGGGAGCTTCTTGGCTCTTTCATAGTATTTGTTCCCTGGTGGCACTGGTATGTGATAGTCTATCCTCCTACTGCTGAGGTGTCTTTCATTGAGTAAATAGAGGAACTGTTGGGTTATCAGGAAAGTCATAATGCATTTTTTGCATAGAAAAACATAGAAACGTACATCCTGACTTTTCCAACAACCTATTAGAATGTTTAGAGTTCACAAAATAATCTCTAAGCCATGCTAAATTAAGGGGGGGGAAAAAGGGTGGGAGAAAAAGCACTCATAAAAATGAGCTTAGTTGCAATTCAGTTCCTTAAAAAGTCTCTGTTTAAAAATGACTGTTCTTGCCAGTTCTCTAACTGGAATTGGAACATTGTACAATTTTTATCTAAACAATCTGGGTTAAAAACACTTGGTAATGGCAGTCATACTTACTGACCAACTTTCAGTTTTTTTTGACCAGGATGGTTGTAAATCAGAGAAAATATCTTCATGCTCTAAATTCAATCCAAAAAGCTCTAATTACTTAAAAGCACTTAGGTGATAATTAAAATTATTTTCATTTTCCCCATAAAATAAACATTATGATGCACACTCCTATTGTCTGAATTTATGTAAGAGGCATAGCGTGCTTAAAATACATATATATGTAAAGTTATATTTTCTTAGAAACATGGATGTTTGCAACTGTTGCTTTCAGAAGAGATTACCATGTATTCTCCTTGTTTTCCAATGTTTTCATAAAGACTGTGTTATGCCAGAGGCTTCTGATTTTCAGTGATAACCAGTTTTAACTGCCTGTATGTACCAGATTTGTGAACTAATTTAAGGAAAAAAACACAAACTATGAATAAAATGAAGTTTGCAAACCAAATGGCAATCATTTTCACTTGTGTTTATTGACTGAGAATGATTAATAAAGCCATTTAATGTAGTGAAAGTAATTTCCTCAAGTGATCTCCTTGGTAGCATATTTACTCATTACATGGACAGTGGAGATAAGGATTACTTTATTGCTACAGATACTGTACTGTTGGTATTTCTAATGTAAGCACAAAATAGGTTATTATTAAGGAGAATTAATTGGGTTAGCACTTCTTTTGAAAATGTATACAAATGTCTTCAAATAAGAACTGTGTATTTATTTATTTAATTAAACATTTTTTTTTGAGGTTTTTGCTATAGGGCGCATGCACTCGCCATAAAGACAGAGACAGAAAATGGGACATCACCCCCCGGGGGGATGGCCACGCCGCAATACCTTCTCTTCCCATTTTCCTCTCAGGATCTTGGGCACACATGCACATGCGGCCGTTGTGAGTTTAAGCCACCAGATCCGGGACTTGAACCATGGTCGACTACATGGGAGTCCAGCGACATAGCCACTGTGCCAACTGCTGGTCCCCTAAACTGTGTATTTATTATTCACGATTGAATGCATGCATGTGCATGCTTGAGAGATGAGCATCCTCCACAGGGTCCAGCCATGCTGTGATCTCCTTCACCCCTACCCCACACTTTCAGTCCATCTAATCCCAGACACTGGTGCAAGGGCCTGGAAGGCTCTCAGGCTGACTGGGTCAGCCAGTCACCACTTTCATCCTTCACCACCACCTAATCACTTTCCCCATCTATTTTCTATCAGTGATGTCACCATTTTTTAAGTCTCTCTACTTCAAACCTTTCAGTCTTCTTTTTAGAGATATTTTTGCTATAGGGTGCGTGTACTCTCGAGAGACAGAAAGCAAGAAATCACCCCCTGGAGGGATGGCCATGTTGCGATCATTTCTCCTCTCAGAATTTTGGGCACACACGCCCAGTGTGAGTTTTAAGCTGCCGTGTCTGGGACTTGAACCGTAGTGGACTACGTGGGAGTCTAACAACATAATCATTCCACCATCTTCCCAAACCTTTCAGTATTGAATCATCCTTAATTTCCCTTATCTACTCTGTTTAGGGAAGTTCAGGCTTATTCTTTCAGGATTAATTTAACAAACCTAAGAATTCCTTACCTACCTGATGGTAAAAGTTGTCACCTCTGGATTGTTTATCCTGTGCCTTTCTATTAATTTAGCAACACCTAAATCAAAAGTATATTCAAAATGTAAACTATTACCTTGAAAAATACAAAACAAAGCCTACCTAAGCAAACAGCAGAAACTGCAGTTCACTTGATACTTTATAACAAAGGCTAATTTAGACCAACTTATTTATTTTGGGGGAAAGAGGGAGAGATTTTTGCTATAGGGGGTTTGCCTTTGCAGGAGAGGGAGATTTTTTTTTTTTTAGGCATCTGTGCCTGTTTAACATTTTCAGTTTAAGTAGGTATGAAATAGTATCTCCTGGCTGTTTTAATTTTCCAAATTAGTTACTAGTAAAGCTGAGTATGTTTTCAAATATTGGTTTAATATTTCCCCCTCTGATTTCTTCGTGTTCTGAATTGTTCTGACCATCTGTATTTATATCACCAAGCTCTTGAACAATAGCTCTGGGTGTGTGCTTCAGTGACTCAAGCCCACCAAGCTCTTCGTGATATAAATACAGTGCAGGACCCAGCCTGGGAGGCACAAACTGTAAAAATGCTATGCTCTGCAGGCTGACCACACGTGAAGACCTGTTCAATTCCTGGTCCAACCTAAAGGCTGGCACAAGGTGCTGGTGTGCCTTTAAACTCAGTGACTAGGGAGGCTGGCCTTGGGCAATATAGTTATTGAGACTCTATCTGAAAAAAAGCTGGGTATGGTGGCATGTACCTAAAGTCCAAACCAAGAGGCTGAAGCATGAGGATCTAGATGCAAGGAGACCATCTTTGAAAAAATAAAACTGAGTACATGCTGGGCAAGCCATGGTGTGGTTGGATCCCGCACGGCCCACTGAAGTCTGGACTCACAGGTTTGAAAGGTCATGGGTGTGGGCATGTGTGCCCAGAATCCAGAGAGAATGGAACAGTAAGGGTGGACATCTCCCCTCAAGAGCTTTCTCATGTTCTGTCTACAGCAAGCACACATACCTTATAGCAAAATAACAACAAAAACGCACACATAGAAACAAAACTAAAAAGCACATGCTTCCTCCAAACTAATACCATTTCAGCTCAGAAATGGTATTTTCTTTTTTTTTTTTTTTTAAGTGATTTTTACTGGGGACCAGCAGGTGGCGTGGTTCTTAAGGCGCTGGACACTCCCATATGACCGACCATGGTTCGAGTCCCAGACCTGGTGGCTTACTAACTCATTTTCTCTCTCTCTCTCTTTCTCTGTGTGTCTCTCTCTCTGGTCAAATTAAAGTAAATGAATGAATAAATAAAATTAAAATTAAATAATTATTTTAAAAAAGAGATTTTTACTATAGGGTGCATGCACTTGCCAGAGACAGAGAGCGAGAAGTCACTCCACGGGGGGGGGATGGCCCCGCCACAATCCCTTCTCCAGTCTCCTCTTGGGATCTGGGGCACCACTGCACACATGCTAAGCATGCTAAGCATGAGTTTGAAGTTACCAGGTTGGGGACTCAAACCATAGGCGACTACATGGGAGCCCAGCAACATAACCATTATGCCATCTGCTGGTCTCCAGAAATACTCTCTAATTATAAGATGATATGCCCTCGATGAAAGGTATCAGCAAATTGTGTAGATACCTTTGTTAATTCAAAAGATTCAGCCTCTACTGTCTACTAGGCACTATACTAAACTCAGTAGATACACTAAATAATGATACAGAAACATTTTCTTTCACAGGCATAGAGTTTAAGTTTTGGTAAGAAATATTTCAAACATAACAAAGCTTTTGGCTATTAAAAGGGATTGTATGGGGCTGCCCATAACCTAGTGGTTAATTAAGACAGTTTCCTGGGGGTCAGTACATAGTGTGTGGTTAAGGTGCTGGACTCTCACATGGCCAAGCATGCTTCAAGTTCTGGAATTGGTGGCTTGCTTTCTCATTTACCCTTTCTGTCTCTCTCTGGTGAGCACCATGTCCTATAGCAAGAAGAAATGAATAAATAATAGATTATTCCAGATTGAACAATAGCTCTGGGTGTGTGCTTCAGTGACTCAAGCCCAGGGAGGAGAAGGGATTCCTTCTCCTCACTCTCTGGTGAGTTTATATGCCCTCTGGCAATTAAAAATGTAGTAAGGGGGAAGCCAGTAGATGGCATGGTGCTTAAGGTGCTGGATTCCCACATGACTGACCACCATGCCAATCCCGAACCTGGTGGCTTGCTTTCTCATTCTCTCTCTGGTCAATTTAAAAATAGTGATACTAATGATAAATAGAATTAAATAATTATTTAAAAATATATAATATGGGGGGGCAGCAGGTGGCATGGTGGTTAAAGGCACTGGACTCCCACAGGCTGACCACGGTTCGAGTCCCTGACCTGGTGGCTTGCTTTCTCACTCTCCCTCTGTCCCTCTCTGGTCAAATAAAGATAAATAAAGTTAAAAACATATATACATAAAATAAGGGGATTGAACGGTAAATCAGGAGAAAACAAAACTATTCCGTAAGCCTGTATCTTCGTATGAGCCATACGCTTAACTCTGTTAGCTTACATCTGAAGGTAGCAATGGACCTTCCTTTTGGCGGCCCTTCGGTACCATTTGTACGGGAAACCTGCTCACTCCAGCTCTGGTTTGGGCCACAGTCTGAAATTAAACCCTTGCAACCCAGTACAGCCTGCACGGGGCGGGGCCTTTGGATCCGCAGAGGCGGACGGGACATCACCTGAACCCTTTGCTTCCCGCGCGGGAGGACAGGGCTACCTGGCTCGAGCGCGCGCCCCGAGGCCCCGCCTCTTGGCCCACGGCTCCCAGCGCCCGGCCTGACCTCGGGCTCACTTCCCAGCAGGTCCACAAAACCCGGCCACTCCCGTCGGCCCAGTCTCTCAGACCACTCCGCCGCCTTTCTCGGCCCCGCCCCGGGGCCATGCCCTTAACGCCTCTTATGCCCCGTCCTACCCTTAGGATGCCTCTCGTAGGAACCCACCATTTTCTGTCCCTTTCCTCCACTTATTTCTCCCGAACTTGTGCCAGGCTTGGCTGTGCTGGAACGTCCCTGTCACCGTGGCTCCAACGTAGCCGACCCTCCCCACTTTCAGGTCCCCCCAGTCCCCACGCCACCGAGAGGAAGCGCGAAGGCGCCGCATATTTCTGGCCCGGACGTCGGTGGAGTGACTCTCCGGAGCGCGTTTTACGACAACGTGCGGCTGCGCGGTGTGGCTGACGGCAGCGCCGCGCTGCTCTTGGAGAGGTCACTCCGGAGACGGCGTTGGTTTTGGGGTGTGGGGGTCGGTGGCACTATGTGGCGCGTCTGTGCACGACGGGCCCAGAATGCGGCCCCAAGGGCAGGACTTGGGGCTCGGTGGACAGCCTTGCGGGAGGGACCTGGCGGGCCGTGCATGACCTCGAGGTCTAGCCCGGCCCCGGCTCGATGCAACAGCGGGACCGCAGGGTATGGCGGGGTCCGGGCACTGTGCCGCTGGAATCCCAACTCTGGGGCCACGCCACGGAACCGCTTACTGCTGCAACTTTTGGGGTCGCCCGGCCGTCGCTGTTACAGTCTCCCCCCGCACCAGAAGGTGAGCCTTCCATCGTCCTTCTCGAGCCTTAGTTGTCCTTCAGGGAGGACTTCTTGGCTTCGGGAACCTTTCTCAGAGGACTCATTGATCCTCCAACCCCTCCCAGTATCTGTTATCGCCCCTTGTCAAATACTCAGCTTTTCTGTAGCTCCTAGGCTCCCCTCATTGTCTTATTCCATTGAAAAAAAAGCTCTCAGCCTGGGCTGTACGCAAAACTGCTGAGGTTGGCGCTGTATCAGACCCAAAGGACTGGAGGGGAAGTCTGCCACTGGACGTCATGAACTTCTGCACGGCAGGAACTCCCTTGGTGTCCTCAGTAGCCAGTGTATGATGGGACTCAGTAAACTTTGCATGAAATCCCACTGAAACCTTAAACCAGTCTGCGTGTGAAGTAGCTGTTTTTAAATTTAGCGTTTCCCTTTTTTCTCCTCCAGGTTCCATTGCCTTCTCTTTCCCCCACAATGCAAGCGGGCACTATAGCCCGTTGGGAAAAAAAAGAAGGGGACAAAATCAATGAGGGTGACTTAATTGCAGAGGTAAGTCGTTTGAAAATATGGAGATGAGTTTCCAAGGGCTGGCTCTGTGGACTGAACATTAGCTTCCTGGATGACTGGTTAACCCCTTTGCCTAAGAAACTGAGGTGTTTTACACACTTTGATGTTGGAGATCAGTGAGATAAGTTGTCAGCAGTTGAACAAACTGATTTTTAGCTGAGTTGTTTTTAAGTAATTCCTCCTTTCAAATCTGTGATAGAGGCTTTATCTTGACATGACTGTTGAAGTGTGTGATTCTAGGCACAAGCTAGTAGACTACATAAGAGCAGTGCAAACCTAAGTTGCTGCTTTCTGTATTAACAGGTTGAAACAGATAAAGCCACCGTGGGATTTGAGAGCCTGGAGGAGTGTTATATGGCAAAGATACTTGTTGCTGAAGGTACTAGAGATGTACCAGTTGGAGCAATCATCTGTATCACAGTTGGAAAGTGCGTAACACCCTTCTAATTTGTGCAGCTTCAGTGCTTACTGGAGTATTTTAACCCAGAACTGAGACATTAGGAGTTGAGGACTTTTTGAGGAGTATTTCTGTGGGAGCTGAATCTGTTCTATAACCTTATATTTATGCATTCTTCCTCTTCCTTAGGCCTGAAGATATTGAAGCCTTTAAAAGTTATACCTTAGATTCCACAGCAGCACCTACACCACAAGCAACCCCAGCACCCACCCCTGCTGCTGCTGCTCCGCCACCTGCACCTTCTGCTCAGGCTCCTGGTAGCTCATATCCCACTCACATGCAGGTGAGGCTCAACCTCAGGGTGTGCTCTAGATGATTGAGTGATAGATTGATTGGTTTTAAGAATTATTTATTTATATTTGTTATCATTATTTTCTAATTCAACCAGAGAGAGAGAGAGAAGGGGAAAGTGGGAATTCAAGCTACCAGGTCCAGAACTCGAACCGTGATCAGCCATGTGGGAGTCCAGGTGGCCCCTAGGTGATTAATTACATATCCATTATTTTTCATAGATGACTATCACGTCCTGGAAACTGTCATTAAATGTGGTTGGCTCTTGCCATTTGGGATTATATAGAGATTTAAGAATAAAAACGGGCCAGCAGGTGGCATGGTGGTTGAGGTGCTAGATTCCCACATGGTTGACTGTGGTTTGAGGCCTGGACTTGACAGCTTGAAAATAACAACAAATAGGAGCCAACAGATGGCATAGTGGTTAAGGTGCTGGACTCCCACATGTCCAATCATGGTTTGAGTCCCCAGACCCAGTGGCTTGACACTTATGCCAGGCACATGTGCATGTGTCTAAAATCCAGATAGGAGAATGAAGGAGAAGGGATTACGGTGTGGCCATCCCCCCTAGAGAGTGACTTCTCGTTTTCTCTCTCTCTGTGTCTTTTCATTCTAGCAAATGCATGAGGCCCTATAGCAAAAATATCTCCACAAAATAAATAAATAAGGGGCTGGCAGATGGTGTGAAGGTTAAAGATGCTGGACTCCCACATGGTTGACTGTGATTCGAGTCTCAGACCTGTCAACTTGCTTTCTTACTTTTTCTGTGTGTGTGTATTCCTCTGGTCAAATTAAAATAATAATAAAATTAAATAAAAATAATTCTTAAAAAAATAAATAAAATTATAACAAATAAATAAATGTCTAAAAAAATAGGGGCTAGCAAATGGCATAATGGTTATGTTGCTGGAATCCCATGTAGTTGACCACAGTTCAAACCCTGGACTCAGCAGCTTAAACTCACGCCGGGCACATGTGGATGCGTGTCCAAGATACCGAGAGGAGAAGGGGTTGCGATGTGGCCATCCCCCCTAGGGGATGATTTCTCGCTTTCTGTCTTTGTGACGAGGCACGCACCCTATAGCAAAAATGTCCCCCCCCCCAAAATAAAAAGAACTTTTATACCTCCTTGTTATTTCCAGATATGTGAACATGGACATACCTTTAGCCCTTCTCAGCCTCGTTGTAGTACACAGGATAATGTTTGGCACACTTACTTAAGAGCATTATGTTACGATGTTATAGTAGGCCTCAGATGCTGTCTGTTAAATGCAAGTCCCCAGTCAATGTTTTCCTTTGACTGTAACAATCTACTTTCCAAGAGTAGGTAATGGAGTCCTATAATGTTGATAAACGTGCAGACTGACAGTATAGAATACGTGGTTCCAGATGGTGGTGAAGTGGTAGAATGTAGTGCTGTGCAAGGCTGACTGATAGGGGAAGGTTCCAGTAACTCCCAGATGATGCAGTCTACGTGTCTGCCCGTGATCTAGGGTTGCTTGAAGCTGGGGGTGGATTACAGTGTCAAGACCCTGTTGGGAGTGTTGGCTTCCTATTTTCTTTGTATCTTTATCACTCATAGAAGAAAAAAATAAACTCAAAGAAAAAAAAAGAATTGTAGAATAAACTTAGACTAACTGGGCAACAAAGCGGAAGTGAGTGAATATAATCACTGTTGATTTCTCCATTTTTTTGTCTATGGCTTCATGTACAGGGGTTGGGCTTGTGCCTTAATTATCCTTTAAAATGCTATATTGAGATTATTGGTTCCCCTAATTTTTTTTTAAGTATTTAATTTTATATTCTATTAGAGGAAGAGTGACAGCACAAAACAGAAAGAGAGATACTCCTAATAGGATCTTCACATTGTGGTCTGCCTGCAGTCTCAGCTGGCCTGGGTTGTGGACACATGCATGTACTACAGGCATTCTTGGGGAGATCCTAGGACGTGGACTCAGGACCTTTCCCATGTGGGTCCAGTTGCATTACTGTTATGGCACCATCTGGCTCTGGTTCCACTAATTCTTAAGAAGCAGATAAAGATGGCACATTCTTGGGGACCAGCAGGTGGCATGGTTGTTAAGGCGCTGGACACTCCCACATGGCCAACCATGGTTCGAGACCCGGACCTGGCAGCTTGCTCTCTCTCTCTCTCTCTCTCTGTGTGTGTGTGTGTGTGTGTACCTGTTCAAGTTAAAATGAATGAATGAATGAATAAGATTAAATAAATAATTATTAAAAAAAAAAGATGGCACATTTTGAACAAGAAACTTTTTTTTTTTTTTTCCAAAAGAGGATTTTTTGCTTTAGGGTGTGTGTGCTTGCCAGAGAAAGAGAGAGAAACAGATAGACAGTGAGAGGGAAAATAATAAATTACCACCCAGAAGGAAAGGCCACACTAGAATCTCTTCTCCATTCTTCTCCCAGGATCTTGGGCACACGCATGCATACACCTGCCATGATTTTCAAGCCACTGGGTCTGGTACTCAAACCACAGTTAGCCATGTAAGGAGTCCAGTGATGTAACAGCTAAGCCATCTGCTGACCCCAAAAGGTATTTTTTTTAATAGTCTAAGACATGTTTTACATTTTCCCCCCCTTCCAGAGACATTTTCAGTTGAAATGAATTTTCTCTCAGCATAATGCTGTTGCTAATTAAATACAGAAGACTAAGAAGATAGCAGGTGAAATCGTAATAACTGAATAAATATCCAGATCCAGTGGACACACAAGCAATGTAAATAGGAAAGCAATTTTTATTTGCTTATTTTTTAGAATTATTTATTTATTTAATTATATTTGTTATTCTTACTTATTTTTTAATTTGGGCCAGAGAGATACACAGAGAAAGGAAAAGTGAGAAAGCAAGCCGCCATGTCCAGGAGTTGAACCACAATCAGCTACGTGGGAGTTCTCTGTCCCAGTGGCCACGAACACATGCCTTGGGCGCTTCCCCCGCTACCTTAACCACCACGCCACCTGCCAGCCTGGAAGGCAATTTTTTAGATCAGCCAATTTGTTGAGATTCAGATTTTGTTGGGCCCTAAGTGACTATTAAAAGAACAGTAATTTTTTTTCTATTTCATTTTCTTAATTAACTGATTGATTATTTTTAATTTACAAATAATTTTATATATTGCGTACAATATTTTGTTTTGAAATATGTATTAATTAACTCAAGCTAATTAATGCATGCATTTTATAGTGAAAACACTTAAAATTTACTCTCATAGCAATTTTTAAATTATATACATTGGTGGGCTGGCAGGTGGCATGGTGGTTGAAGTGATGATTCCCACATGACCAACCATGGTTTGAGTCCCAGACCTGGTGGCTTTCTTTCTCACTTTCCTGCTTTCTTGTGTCTCTCTCTGATCAAATTAAAAAATAATAAATATAATTAAATTAATGATTCTTTAAAATAAAAACAGGATAATATACATTGTTATTAACTAGTCAGCAATGAACAACTTTTAATATCACCTTTTTTTTTTTGAGAGACAGAGATTTTTATTATAGGGCACATGCTATTGCCAGAGAGACAGAAAGACAGAAAATGAGAAATCATGTTCCCAGGGGGATGGACACACCCCAGTCCCTTCTCTTCCATTCTCCTTGCAGGATTTTGGGCACTCACGAGTTTTTTGTTTTGTTTTTAAGATTTATTTATTTATTTTATTTTACTTAACTTTATTTGTTGTTGTTATTATTTTTGAGAGGCTTTTGCTATAGGGCGTGTGTGCTCGCCAGAAAGACAGAGAGAGACAGAGAGATAGAAAGCGAGAAATCACCTCCAAGGGGGATGGCCATGCCGCGATCCCTTCTCCATTCTCCTCTCCGAATCTTGGGCATGCACGCACATGTGCCTGGTGTGAGTTTAAGCCACCAGGTCCAGGACTCGAACCGCAGTCGACTACATGGGAGTCCAGCGACATAGCCATAATGCCAACTATTGGTCCCATTATTTTTATTTTTAATATTATCACTGAGAGACAGAGAGAGAGAAAAAGGGAAAGTGAGAAAGCAAGCTGCCAGGTCCAGGACTTGAACTGTGATCAGCCATGTAGAAGTCCAACACCTTAATTATCATGCCACCTGCCAGTCTCAAGCAAGAAATCACACCCCCACCCCCACCCCCCGGGAAGCTGGCCATGCTACAATCCCTTCTCTTCCATTCTCCTTGGTATTTTGAGCATGCACACACCTGCGCCCTGTGTGAGTTTTAAGCCACTGGGTTTGGAACACAAACCATAGTCTACTATGTGGAAGTCCAGCAATGTAACCATTCTGCCATCTGCTGGTCCCTTTAATATCAGCTTTTTATTTTAGAACAATAATCTAGGAATTTTGGGACAAGTGCAATTTCCAGTGCATGAAAAGATGGGTAGATGTGAAGTACAGAGTACAGCAAAATATTAACAGAATGTTCTGAACTGAGATCATTATGTGAAAATGAAAAGTTTCCATCTTAAGTGTTAAAAATAACTCTGTGCTTTGTATATTTATTGAGGAATTAATTTGGCTGTCTGAAGAAATCTTTTCCATATGCTGATTGCATTTAACTTTTGATGATAGAGTATGGCTGATACAATGTCCATATGCTGATTGCATTTAACTTTTGATGATAGAGTGTGGCTGATATAATGAAGCTGGAGATTTGAAGGATGATTTACCTGGTGGGAAGCTATTGAGCCAGTGGCTTTTGCTGTGATGGGTGTTTGCATTGTCATACTCACTGTCATTCCATGAAATTATATAAACTTGTCTGAGTGCTTTTTGGATCCAAGACTTCCTGATATTAAGCAATAATACATATTTGTTTCTACAGGTAGTTCTTCCTGCCCTCTCTCCCACCATGACCATGGGCACAGTTCAGAGATGGGAAAAAAAAGTGGGTGAGAAGCTAAGTGAAGGAGACTTATTGGCAGAGATAGAGACTGACAAAGCCACTATAGGTGAGATTTCTTCAGCTCTTAATGGTTGAGACACTGAGTTTTCCAATGAGGAAGAGGATTGCCCTCCTTTCTATAATGAGTGAGTGATAATATGAAAACTTTATCATTCATTTCATGGGATAGGATATTTATAACAAAAATGCATAGTCAGATTTGTCCGTTCCATACTGCATTTACTGGAACAAGGACATGTCAACTCAGAGATTATTCTTAGGCCAGAGTTTGCTTCTTAGCCTTATTATATTACTGAGAAGCTGTATCAGAACTGCCATTGTTTAAACTGGGCAAAGGAGTGAAAGAGGAAACAGGTCTCCAGTGTAGGAAAATAGCAAAGAATTTAAGATGCCTTTGAGGGAAAAGTGAAACCAGGATTTAGATTGTTTTTATAGTTTGAGAATGAGTGGTAGAATGTATATGTATTTAAGATACTATTTTTCTTTGTATCCCTTTTTTTATTTGTTTTTATGTTCAGGCTCAAGCCCCACATATATTTATGGTAGACTTCATAGACGTTCAAAAGTATTATGAAATTCTTCCCTCTCCTCCATAGTCAGTACTAAAAGGAGGAGGCCTGTTTATTCCCCAAAGAGGTAGTGGGAAATTCTGGGCATCCTCAACAGTGATGGTTTTTAGATTGTGTTTTTAAGACCCTATCATTCTTTGATGACACCTGTGGTAAAGAGAGCACTAAGGGACAGGACCCTATAATACCTTGCCCTCTCCCCCACTTCTACCAGAGCCGTTCCTTTTTCTCCTTTTCATATTATGTTTATTCATAGCATTTTATTAGACAAAAGGATTCTTTTTTTTTTTTTTTTTTTTAAGATTTTTGCCATAGAGCATGTGTGCTCATAGGGAAGAGACAGAGACAGTAGAGGGAAAATGAGAAATCACCCTCTGAGGGGATGGTCACTCCACATTCTTTTCTCTTCCTGGGATTTTGGGCACATAGACATATGCGCCTGGTGTGATTTTCAAGTCACCAGGTTCATGTCTTGAACTGTGGTTGGCCATGTGGGAGTCTAGCACCTAAACCATTTGCCACCTCCCGGCCCTTCTTTCTTTTTTAAAGCTGGAGGGTTTATGTGCTTGCCAGACACAGAAGGGAGTAAGAGGAGAAAGCACCACCTACTGGGATGTCATCATGTCATAATCCCTTTTCTGTTTGTCCCTTCTGTCTTAATTCAGGCATGCAGGCACATATACATAGCCTATTTCCCAAGACTCTGGGACTGGGCCTCTAATTGTTTTTAGCCATGTGAGATCTGGTTTCCTTAACCACTATGCCACAGGGCTAGTTCAGGATTTTGTTTCTTAAAAACAAAGAAAACATCAAAAACCTTAGCAATAAGAAGTCTGCTTCCCCTTTTAACTTGACTACCAGTGTCACTTGAGACTGGTGTTCTAGAGACTAATAGAGAGGTATTAGTTTAGTCAAACCGTTTTAAACTCTATTGTAGCCCAGGAACCTATTTTTATTTTCCTTTTTTCTGTTATTTTCTTTTTTTAGAGAGATTTTTGCTATAGTGCACATGTATTTGCCAAAGAGATAGAAAGCAAAAAATCAGCTCCTGGGGAGATAGCCATTGTCTCAATCCCTTCTTCTCCATTCTCCTCTCAGGATCTTGGGCACACACACACACGCGAGCCTGGTGTGAGTTTCAACCTGCCAGGCCTGGGACTTGAATCGTAGTTAGCCATGTGGGAATCCAGCAACATAACCATTACACCATCTGCTGGCCCCTCCTTTATCATTTTAAACATACCTTTTATTATCAACTGTGAAATGGAACGATTCATCAAAGATGTGTTCATTAAGGAGAGTTACACTACCACAGGAAGCCAAAGTCAAAGCAAACCTTGTCCTTTCCACTGGCTTCTTTTTGTTTTACTTTGCAGACCTAAATGCTTGCATTCCCCACTAAAAAAGCAATAGCTGAATAAAATGTAAGTTGACAACACCATAGAAATCAATTCTAATAATGCAATATTTTTTCATATTGAAATACTTGAAATACTACCAAGTATAACCTCTTTGAAGACTTCCAGAGGTGCTTTTAGGGTTAAAATCCTACATCACTCTGTGGTTTGGTACCTCCCTTAATTTGACATGCATTTAGTTCTGATTTTTAGTAGTTCAACTGATACCATCTTGGAGTCCCGTAAGTCTGCATGAGGGCTATTGTGCTTGCAGATATTTTTAATAACAACCTTTAACCACTGCTGGGACCAGCAGTTAGTGTAATGGCTATGTCGCTGGACTCCCATGTAGTCGACCGCGGTTTGAGTCTCAGACACGGTGGCTTACACTCACGCTGGGCGCATGTGTGTGCATGCCCAAGATCCCGAGAGGAGAATGAAGGAGAAGGGATTGTGGTGTGGCCATCCCCCCTGGGGGGTGATTTCTCACTTTCTATCTCTCTGTCTCTCTGGCGAGCGCACGTGCCCTATAGCAAAAACCTCTCAAAATAAATAAATAAATACAAATGAAGCCTTAAAAAAACTAACCACTGCCGATAATCATGCGTAGCTTTATTTAACAGATATTTATTTAGTATTTACTTTGTACCAGATTCTGTTTCTAAGTTCCTGAAAAATACTAATTTATTTAAATTCACAATATCCTGTGAGGTAGTACTATCCTCATTTTATAGGTAAAGAAACTGAGACACAGGGAAATTAAATAGCTTGCAAGAGGTAATGTAGCCAGTCTGAAGAAAGCCTTCTACTTAAACTGTGCTATGAGTTTGGAGGGAAGATAGAGTCTTTATAGTCCCATAATGATTTTTCTTTTTATTTTAAGGTTTTGAAGTACAAGAAGAAGGCTATCTAGCAAAAATCCTGATCCCTGAAGGCACAAGAGATGTCCCTCTAGGAACCCCACTCTGTATCATTGTAGAAAAAGAGGCAGATATATCAGCATTTGCTGATTATAGGCCAACCGAAGTAGCTGATTTAAAACCGCAAGTACCACCACCTATCCCACCCCCGGTAGGTATGCTTCTAAAATTGAAGGGACACTTAACCTTGTTCTTTTTTTAAACTGAGAGGATTGAATTAGGTAATTAAAATGAAGATGTTAGTTTACTTCTTAAGATACTTTTCAACATGGAACCTTCCAGTGTAATTTGGAGATTAGGTTATGTTAAAAAAAAACAAAACTATGTTGGTGATGTAAGAGAATGAGAATAAAGAAGAGGCAAGAGATTAAAGTGAAGGAAGGCTGTAAAGGATACTATACACTGGTCAGCAATATTAAATATTTTGTTTTCTCTGTTACCATGGTAAAAGATGGTTTGAGTATTCTGTCTCTTCCATAAAGTGTTCTTGCTATTCATATTATTATATTGGTTAAGCAAGAAAAAAGTGCATTATGATCTTTGGGGCAAAGATAAAAAATACTTAACTACCATAACTTTTGCTTCTTAGTAAATGTAAGCTCTTAATCTTTCAGCAGTGGTAACTTAACAATGTATAACTTTTTTCAAAAGGTGGCCACTGTTCCTCCAACTCCCCAGCCTTTACCTCCTACACCTGCAGCCACCCACCCAGCTACACCTGCTGGACCAAAGGGTAGGGTGTTTGTGAGCCCTCTTGCAAAGAAGTTGGCAACAGAGAAAGGGATTGACCTTACACAAGTAAAAGGTAAGTCTTTTATTATTGCCAGAGGGCTTGCACACAACCAGAGAAAAGGAGGGCAGGGCAGAGAAAGCATTCTCCAGTGGGGTGTGGTTATATCACAGTCCCTTCTCCATTTCTCCATTCTGTCAGGATATGGGGCAGAACTGCACACACTGCCAGCGTGAGGACTTAAACCACAGTTGGTCAGGTGGGATCTGGCTTCCTTAACCTCTAGGCCATGGAACTGGCCTAGTAAGTCTTTTTCTTCGGAATGGCACTGTCCAGTTAAAATCTGGTTGAGTTTTCTCCTTAAGACTAGTATGAAGCCAGTATGGTTAAGGCACTGGATTCCCACATGGCCAACTCTGTAGATTGAAAATCTCACCAGATACATATATGCACATGTCCAAATCTCAATAGGAGATTAGAGGAGAAGGGATTCCTTCATGGCCATGCCCCTGTTGGTGAGAGGGGCACCTTATGGCAAAAACCTACAAAAAAGAAAAAAATGCTAGTACACCTGCACATAGCTGTCTTTTTTTTTTTTGGAGAGGTTTTTGCTATAGGGCACGTGCACTTGCCAGACAGACAGAAAGCGAGAAATCACCCCCCAGGGGGGATGGCCACACTGCAGTCCCTTCTCCATTCCCTTCTCGGGATCTTGGGCACGCACGCACATGCGCCCAGCGTGAATTTAAGCCACCGGGTCCGGGACTCGAACTGCGGTCGACTACGCGGGATTCCAGCGACATAGCCATTATGCTAACTGCTGGTCCTGCACATAGCTGTCTTAACTGGGATAATGGGGAGAATGTGAGGGAGGGAAATATTTCACTTTGTGGTACCACTGAGTAGGAAAGCTTTAATTGTGCTTTATTTAGTCTGCCTAGGATCTACCTATCCAATTTAGAGAACTTTTTTCTGTCTCCTCTGTTCATGGGACCTTTTAACTGTTGATGAAACCATATGTGTTTGTTTAGCAAGTTAGGTTTTAGGATTTGATTGTGTAATAAGAACAAATCTCTTAGTGCTAGGTTGACTAAATCTAAAATTGAACAAAACGAAACATGAAGCTGGGGTGATTTGAAATTTCTTAAAATTATAAAATTCATGTAATACCAAACTAAAACCCTCCTGAAGGCAGAGGAAAATGGCTTACTCATTTTGTCTCGAAGAGAAACTGTAGTTTAGCGATAAAGAGCATGGGGTCTGAAATCAGACCACCTAGGGTTGAGTCCTAACTCTGTGTTTCCTGTGTGGTATGTCTTTAGTTCCTTAACTTGTTTTTCCAGCTGTAAAGCTGACATAGTAGTGTACATCATGTAAAATCGTGACAATTAAGTGGGTAAGAGATTAAAGTGAAGAAAATGCTTGGAACATTATCTAGCACATAATAAATATTCAATACATGTCAGTCATAGTTGTTTTAGGCTGCCACTTAAATGGTTTCGAACTAAAGCTAAAACTGACATTAAGATATTTAAGATACTTATTTGGAAAGGGGGTAATTACTATTCTTGGAACTTAGTTTTGGGATAGTAGATAGATGACACACATACATTTTAGGGCATAGGCTCCCAGGAAAGAGACACCGTTGCTTTTAAGAGTAATTCACTGGAGATTGTTTGCACACTAGCCTTCCTCATTCACTGGCGATTGAGTGCACATTAGGCTTCTTAGAAATCATTCAGTGGTGGCCCAGCAGACGGAGTAGCAGTTATAGCACTATATTCCCATATGGTCGACCATGGCTTGAGTTCTGGACCCAGTGACTTGAAACTCAGGCCAGGTGCATGTGTATGCATGCCCAAGATCCTGGTAGGAGAATGGAGGAAAAGGGATTGCAGCATGACCATCCCCACTGTGGGGTGATTTCTCAGGTTCCTTCTCACTTTGTCTGTTTGTCTCTCTCTCCCCCTCCAGAGAACACAAGTGCCCTAAGGCAAAAAAAAAAAAAAAAAGTCTCCTTCCCCCCTTCCAACCCCGCCCCTGCTGCCTACAGTTAAGGCTTTTTCCCGGGTTCTACCCAGATCACGATCTTTATGGCACAAAGCTTTTAGACAAAGAGGGTCTCATGACCGATGTACTCCAAAATTAAGAGACTAGCTAGACCCTAGCCAGACCCACCTGGTATGTGACCCCCACCACAAGGAGAATGCTTGAACAGGTTCCTCCTAGCTAGGCTATAAATTGTAGACCCAAACTTCGGCAACCCATTTTCCGGGACCACTCCCTGCTGCCTGGGAGCTGTTCCTCTCCTCTAATAAAATCTACTTTACTGCCCTGTCCTCTTGTCTGCACTTGTAACTCTTTGTGATTGTGAGACATGGATCTGTATGCTTTGCTTATCTCATGTTGGAGGGCATTTGGGGCTCTAGTCACCCCAAATTCCCACATCAGTTTGATAACTGTACTATCTATCTATTTATTTATTTATTTATTGGAGAGGTTTTTGCTATAGGGCATATGTGCTTGCCAGAAAGACTGAAAGCCAGAGACAGAAAGTGAAAAATCATCCCCCAGGGGGGATGGCCATGCCGCAATCTCTTCTCCTCCATTCTCCTCTTGGGATCTTGGGCACTCATGCACACATTCCCAGTGTGAGTTTAAGCTACCGGGTCTGGAATTCAAACTGCAGTTGATTACATGGGAGTCCAGGAACCTGGAACAAAGACCAAGTACATTTAGAAAATTTTTTTAGAAGTTTTTACCCATAGGGCCTGTGTGGTTCTCAGAGTGAAAGAGAGAGACAGAGACAGTGAGAGAGAAAGTTTAAAAACTCCCCCCAGCAGGGATGATGACCACGCCACAATCTCCTCTCCATTTTCTTCTAGGATCTTGGGCATATACGCTTATGTTCCCGGCGTGATTTTTCTTTCTTTCTTTCTTTTTTTTTTTTTTTGAGAGGTTTTTGTTATAGGGTACGTGTGCTTGCCAGAAAGACAGAGAGATAGAAACCGAGAAATCACCCCCCAGGAGGAATGACCACGCTGCAATCCCTTCTCCATTCTGCTCTCGGGATTTTGGGCACGCATGCACACACACACGCCCGCCACTGGGTCTCAGACTCGAACCGCGGTCAACTACATGGTAGTTTAGCAGCATAGCCATTACACTAACTGCTCGTCCCCCCCGGCATGATTTTCAAACCCCCAGTTCCGGGAGTCAAACCATGGTTGGCCATGTGGGAATCCAGCCATGTAACTGCTATGCCATCTGCTGGCTCCAAGTACATTTTTTATTATACTGCAGTCCGAGAGGGTTGTTAGAATTCTAGATTTCAGAGATGTGCAAGCACTATTGATTACATGGCCTATGATTTGACCTTAGAAGTTGGGGTGGGGGGTGTCTTGTCGGGAGAGGGCAAAACTAGAGTTAACTATGTGAGCAAACTTAGGGTTATTGGTGGATTTTGGTACCCAAGAGGATAGGGGTCACAATGAAAATGACTCTGAATGAACAGTAGTAATTATGAATTGATAAATAAGAGACAGTGAAGAGAAGTCAGGTTATAAAGCCAAATAGCATGAACTTAAAAAGGAGTTGAAGTTTTTGAGGAGGAGGAGGATCTGGAAGTAGTTATATGGTTATGAGTAGAAAGCACTTTCCCTATCTCAGGGTTGAGAGAGAGAAAAATAATAACCCTAGTTAGGGAAGAACTAAGGGAAAACTGAATAGCAGGACAGATTGCTGAGCAGATATGACTGAAGTATAATCATTTAGAGGGAAATAGTGTTGAGGCCTTGACATTTTATGTTCATAGTGTGAGTTGTCTCAAAGCTAACTGTATGTTTTCTGTTTCTTTGATGCTGAGCACTTTCACATCACTATATCATTTTACCTTTACAACATTCCTGTTAACAGGGGCTAGTATTTTAATTCCTGGCCTACAGATGACCCTTAAGTAACTTAGTCATCTATCTAGTGTATGTTTGACAAGAACCCTACACTTTTGCTCCTAGGTCAGTGTTGTTTCCTTTATTCCGTAATGGTTTATGATGGCCGGGAATAGGCAAGAAAGTTAAAAGGTATTAACTCACTTCTAGTGGGAAGTTTTGTGAATGGCTTGGAGTTTAACAGCAGGCAAGTTGTGCTACAGGATTCCTCCTTTTGAGTGGTGTTTAGATCAGCTTCATTGGAAGAAGAGGTTGTGGTTAATATCTTTTACAAAGGAGGAGAATCTAATAAGAGTACTGCCACCTTGGTTCTAGAGTTCCTGGTGAGTGAGGATAAACACAGTTCTAGCCAACTCAGTTTTCATAATGAAGGAAACAAATTGGGAAGAAGCACACACAGCAAGAGTCCCTTCAAGTCTACTTTAGGGGAAGATGAATAAATTTGACCAAATTTTTTCTAGAAGTAGGCCAGTGTCAAAGGTATTCCAATAACTAAATTTTATATCTCCTTAGAATTAAAGGTTAGAATTACCTACTTATAGATGGGAGAAGGGAAGGAAATTGAATAAAAATAAAATTAAGCCTATCGAGTGAACTCTTAAGATCCTTCCTCAAAATTGACATTGCACATGTTTTCTTTATTGTCTCCGATGTAGGTCAGTTGTTATCTGGTAACCCTGTGCAAAGGGAATTCTTTATGGTCAGATAAATTCAGAATCTAGTTGAGAGGTATTTCAGGATTTAGAAAGGGTTTTTTGGGACTGAACATGAGGACACAGCTAGGTTTCCTTTCAGAGGTATAATCTATGCTCAGCATTATCATTATGCCGGTATTTCTTAATTTAGAAGTGGAGAAGATTTTAAAAATCAAGTATAACTTAATTATATAACACTCTAAAAAAGAGGAGTAGATAAAATAATATTTGAAGTAGTCAGAAAGAGCCACTACAGATCAAGCAAGGTTGCTCTGTAAATTAAAATCAGGAAGTGGCTGAAAGCAAGTATCCCCAGGGGAACCTGCAAGGGCACGTTAAGCTGTGAGCCTTTCAGAGTGTTTCTGGTAGTGAATTCTTGGGGATTCCTTGGGGGAACCAGTGGTATACTGTCACGTGTCATCATTTATGTATCCCTTCCAGGGACGGGACCAGATGGCAGAATCACCAAGAAGGACATTGACTCTTTTGTGCCTACTAAAGCTGCTCCTGTGAGTTATGTTTGGTCCTTTTTTTTTTTTTTTTTGGCAAAGTGCTTTGTCCAAATTGTCAGCCTATTTCATACATTATTTGTGAATGAAATAACTTAACCAGAATTGTTTTAATTTCAATTGCTTACCAATATTTAGATATTCATGTGTAATCGTATATATACAAAATCAAAGATGATGATATGCATTCCAAATTGTGGATTTTTTTATTTTTTTGTTTTTTATTCATGATAGAGCTCGTGAGTGTGCATGCAAGAGAGAGGGAAAGAGAAAGCGACAGCGCTGAGC